ACGTTCGGTTCGAGTCCCGTTTAGCGACTCTGGAGCTCAAAACGCGTCTAGAGTTTTGTCCGCCTCCACCGGTCTTCTGGCCCACTGTGCGACGCAGAGAGTGAGGCACGCGGCTGCAGCAGCGCAGCACAGCCGCAGGTGCGCGACGACGCAAAGCAGTGCGTCAGCAGGCTGGTTTCGAACAGCGCTTTCGTCGCTTTGTCTCCGTCGCACTGACGGTGCGCCCCGAAGAGGTGCGAGAGACACAGAACGGCGTCACCGTACGTCACCGCACACTTTTGCCGGACCAACGACGCCCCCCAGCCGCGCTCTGCCTGCAAGGCCTGCAAGGAACGGGGACGCCGAGTATTGAATTCTCGGCTCCAAATGCCGGCCGACTCGACCTTCTCCCTCGCACTCGCACGCACGCCGCGACGCGCGGTGTCGCAAAGTTTGATCCTGGCCGGTCGCCAGAGGTATCGCACCGAGCGTCCTTCTCCTTCTGTTGTGCGTGTAATATGTCCGAGTTTATGCGGTGTAGGGGCGGAGCTTCGGCGGGAGGCTCTGTCTCTCTCGCACCCTTGGGACGTTCTGGAAGCGCGAGAGAGACGGCACCGCCACTGTTCGGAACCACCCCGCTGTTCGGAACCACCCCGCTGGCTGTCCTGCGCCAAGCCGCGCTGCACCGCCGTCCGTGAGACGCGAGACGCGCGGTCGAACGCGCGTCGTTGGGCCCGCGCTCTGTCTCTCTCGCACTCGCGGGGCGTCCCACTAGTCCCGCACGGGTGCGAGAGAGAAGAGCGGAATCAGTCACCGCGGGGGTAACGCGAGCCGGGAAAACGAGAAGGCAATGGCAGCGGCGGTAGGATGCAGCGGGAGATGCAGCCGCCAATTCAAGGGGGCCTTGGCCACGCAGCCAGCACGTTCGTTCCGAGAGTCGCTTTCGTCGCTCTGTCTCTCTCGCACTCATGGGGCGTCCCGTCTTGGTGCGAGAGAGACAGAGCGACGACTCTGAATCCGCGGCCGGTCCGTGGGGAAGCGACAGACCGCGGACTTTCTGCTGCAGGGGCACATTCCAGGGATCAGGGACGGACTCGGCGTCCAACTGACCGGGTCACGCAGCCACCACAACAGAGCCCTGTTTCGCAGGCCGATCCCGCGCACAGCTCGCCAATGGGTGCGAGAGAGACAGAGCGACGAAAGCGCACTGTTTGAAAATGAACTCGCTGTGCCCCGCGAGGCGTGCCACCGCCCCGGGCAAGGCCGCGGACTAGGGGATAAGGGGCAGGTGCTCCCTGGACCCCAGTCCTAGAGGCAGGACACGCATGTCACGGGGACGCAACGCGGTGGAGGGGAATCACAGTGGCGTGGTCCATGGTCCATGCTTGGCGTGCTGCCGTCTTTCGACTCTTGGAGGATCCGCAAGGAAAGCCACTGACTATTGGCAATGCGCAAATGGGCGTGACAGAATCCACCCGGTTTACTTTCACGGCTTGTCTCGGATGAACTGCCCCCTGCAGGGCCGCTCTGCCCCCCCCCCTTTCCCTGCAGTGACAACGTCACGTTGACTGACAGTCGCGCTTCAAACACCCCCTCCCCCCCTTTCCCCCCCTCCAGCCCAGCAGGCCCCGGCCATATCAAGTGACTGTCGGGCTGGCGAGGAAAACATGAATAACCAACCGTGGCACCATCTGATCAGTGGTGATACCAGAGAAGAGACCAGCGGTGCAGCGGCACCAGGGGCACCCGGCAGCAGACTGATTCCGAGAGTCGTTTTCGTCGCTCTGTCTCTCTCGCACCCATACGGGACGCCCCATGAGCGCGAGAGAGACAGAACGATGAGAAAAGGACTCTCGGAATGAGTCTGCAGGCAACCACCCCGCCGCGGAGAAGGACGGACGGACGGACAAACAGACTCGCTAGCGAGTCTGACAAACGCTCTGGCGGGCATTTCTGCGTTTTGAGACGAGGGGAGGAGGGCGGTGCGAGGGTGAGGCACGTGCGCTCCAACTGCTTAAAATGGGACGTGGTTTTGGTCGTGTTGCATTAGCCACCGTCCAGGGCGCCTCACAGTGGGCCAGAAGACCGGTGGAGGCGGGCGAAACTCTAGACGCGCGTTTTGAGCTCCAGAGTCGCTAAATGGGACTCGAACCCGAACCGAACGTGTGACCCCACCAAGGAATCGATTGGTGGGGTCACACGTTCGGTTCGAAGCCTGTTTAGCGACTCTGGAGCTCAAAGCGCGTCTGGGGTTTTGTCCGCCTCCACCGGTCCACTGTGCGCCTTGGGCTCGCGCGAGGACGGCCCGAGCCGGCCGAGCATGGTTTCGAAACTATAAACTGTCCCCGCGGTGAAACGTCCCTTCGGTTTCCCAGGACTCCCCAGGACTTCCTTGAAATCAAACACCTCGCGGCAGGGCGCATTTCCTTGGCACACCTCAGCCTCAGTTTGGTGCTCCGTCTCTCTCGCACCTTTGCGCAGTGCCCCCATGTGTGTGACGGAGACAGAGTGACGAAGCGACTGTGTGAATCGCTCGGCCGGCGGTGCAGGGCGGCGCGCTAACGTATCGCGAGGTGCGACAGAGACAGAGTCATTCATTCACCCGCTTGGCCTCGACTCGGCCACAGTGGCGTGTAGTTACGCCCGGCCGGGGGGCTGCACACTTTTCGTCGCTCTGTCTCTCTCGCACCCATAGGGGAAGCCCCAGGAGTGCGGGACATGCAGAACGACGAAAACTCGGAATCAGTCCTGCTGGGGCGGGTCGGGCGGGTCGAGCGGGGTTAGCCAGCCGAACCGAACAGAGAGCTCTTGGGCGAGGTAAAAATAGCCATCATCTTATAGGCAGTCATCTGTCGATGCTGGGGCGGGGCGGGGCGGGGCGAGGCGGGGCGGGGTGGGGCGCGGTGTGTGGACCGCGTCGGAACACCCTCAAAAAAGGCGAGCCGCCTTCGGATGCGGCCTTTCCCTTTCGCGGCCTCATTTAGCCAACCGGGCCAAATTACATGCCTGCCCCGCCGGCCGAAATCAAGTCCCAGCACAGTGACGCAGGTGCCGCTGTAGTTTTTCCAACTTTTTTCAGAAAGGTGTTTTTTTAGCGGGATTTTTTAAAGTGAAATAATTCCTTCCTCCGGTTTTTTCTCCTCAATCTGGCCTTGCCACCGTGAATGGCCCTCCCTTGCCTACGCCCCTGCCCTGCGCGCCTTTCGCATTTTCTGTGGAAACAGAAAACGAGGGCCTCCCGCTCCTAGAAGCTCCCCGCCGTGGCCGCTCTGCAAACAACGCGGAACACTGCCAAGCACTGCCAGCACACTGATTTCGAGAGTCGTTTTCGTCGCTCTGTCTCTCTCGCACTCACGGGGCCATGGGGCGTCTCCTGAAGGTGCGAGAGAGGCAGAGCGACGAGAAGGACACTCGGAACCAGCCTGCCGCCTGCCGGCACTGCCCACGCGACCGCTGAACGCGCGCAGAACGCATGCATACAGCGGATGGAATTCCATCCGTATGAGAAACTGCAAGGAACGTGTATTTGCGTTGGCCCCCCTCGAGGATGACAGAGGTTTTCTCGAGGGGGCAAAAACTCGCGCAATCATGTGTACACGGCCCCCGAAATCACACGCGAATCATTGAGAATCACGCGAAATCAAGCAATCTGAAATCAGCCAAAATCACTAAAATCGACCGAAATTAGGCAGAATCACACGAAACCAGGCCAAATCAGTCCGAAATCATTTCTTTCCGAACACAATCACACGCAATCACGCTCAACATCACCCTGGTGCGTCGCGAAATAAGGCAAAATCAGCCATGAAATCAATTAAAACCATGCGCAATCATTGTGTTTTCCGAATCATGTGTACAGGAAAATCCCGAGTTTTTGCCCCCTCGGGTTTTCTCCTCGGCGGCGCGGCGCGGGAGTAAGACGGAGAGGGGAGACGCGGGGGAGAACTTGCCGACTCGCCTTGCTTACCCCTTTCTCCCGCCAGTGGGCCAGCCCGGCCAGCGCGGCCGCCCCTCTTCTAATGACATTGTCATGCCGGCTCATATTGCAGGGAAATGAATCCGACCTCAAATGAGCTTTGGGGGTGTGGCTGCGCCGGGCTGCGCGCCCCCCACCCCTCCCCGCCGTGCCGAACAACCCCCTCGGCCGCTTTGATCAGCGACTGCCGTAAAGTTGCTGAGCCTGTCGAATGGAAAGGGGTCGTTGTGGCGTCGTGGGATTCCTGAGCCTGAGTGCCGAGACTGCAGAGCGGTGGGCCCACGAACGCCTGGAGTTCCGTGGATAGGCAGTCCCGTCGAGCAGGGCTGCATCCGGTTTGCCTGCCCACCAGGCGCTAGGGCCGCATTCCGTTTGCCTAGCCAACAGGCGCTATTGCTATTCATGGTTGGACCACAAATTGCCTCTTCCTCGGTGTCAGTCAGTGGGGTGGGTATAGGCAGTCCCAAGATGCGGCCCAGTTTGACGGGGCAGCCAAACTGAACCCTTTCCACAATTCTTATGTTGAGTAGTACAGGCGCCCCTCGTAATTCCTATCCAAAACAATTGGGGAAATACCTCGAAACGCCACGTATTGTCTTAATGTACGTATACTGTGAGGTTATGCCCGAATAAAGTGCAACGGCTTAGTTTTACCGTGGAATCCAACGGTGTCCGTCCATGCGCGTGGACAGATACGCGCCACTGTAAGTGGTTGGAAATGTCCGCGGAGACCCAGACTCACGCTGTGCGTTTTCCTTTTGCTGCAGGAGTACGCGGAGAAGGCGATGAACGAGCTGCTGGGGTGGTACGGCTACGACAAGCTGGACCGGCGCGAGGCGCAGTCACTGTCGGCGCAGTCGCTGCCGCCCCAGGCCCTGGCGCAGGCCTTGCCGCAGGCCCTGCGCCAGTTCGGCGGCCCTCCGCACCGCCTGCCCCCGCAGCTGGCCTCGGCCCTGGCGGCGGCCGCGGCGGCGGCGGCTGCGGCGGCCGCGGACTCCGGGGGCAGCGGCGTGGCGGCGCCACCGTGCGACGCCGACTCCTCGGACCTGGAGGCGACGTCCAGCGGCAGCGCGGACCGGAGGGGCTCGACGGGGTCCTCGCAGGGCAGCCCGACGAGATCAGGTAAGCGTCGCCGCGAAGCCGGTCGAGATGTCGGTACTTCAGGGTAGGCGCCAGGCGCCGCCGCTTCGATGGACTCGAAAAGCTCCAACCTTTTCCGGGATCGTCGTCGTCGTGGTGGTGGCGCTGGTGGTCTGCGGCCTGCAGCTCGGGGCTCTTGGACTCCGGTGGGCGTTCCGACACGCCCCCCGGCCCGCTCCGGCGTGCTGCCACGCCCAGCCGCGCCGACCGCGCCCGCCCCGCCCCGCCCCGCGCACCACTGCTATGACGTGCCTGGCCACCTTGTAATTATCGGCGAGCAGCTGTTGCGAGCGCGGGGCGTGGCGGGGCGTGGCGGGCGCGGGGCGGGGAGCAATAGCGCAGTCGGACCTGGTTCGGCCGTTCGGGCTAGCCTCAGGTGTCCAACCCAATCAAAGCTATCACTCGTGAAACGCATCGTGGCGGCGATCCGCAACACCATTGTGGCCGTGTTCCTGTCCTGCCGATCCCTGGAACACTGCAACACTGCAACACTGCCGGTGCAGCCCATCCGCTGCATTGTCTGTCGTTCGAGGGAAGACCACCGGCGAACTGAGTTTAGCGACTTCCGCGACTCCCCCCCCCCTTTCCCCTCCCCCTTTCTCCTGCACTTTACTCATCACTCATAAAGTTCCTCCCCTCGGCGCGCAATGCTAAAGACCCCTTGTCGCCCACGCCGTATTGCGACGCTGCCCCGCCCCCTTCGCCGTCACCGCCCCCGCCGCCCCCGCTGCCGGTCGCCGCCCCCACCCCCTTGTCCGCGTCCCCAACGACCTGAAAAACGCTTTCCCAAGGCCGGGGCCGGGCCGGGGCCGGGGAAAGCGAGTCGGAAGCAAAACAGGAAGGCAGCCCGAAATCCGAACGTTTTTCGGATCCGGCGTTTGAAGCCGGGCGTGTTGTTTGTTGTGTCCCTTCGACTGCGACCGGCGTGTTGGCGTGCTCTCCGCGCGCGCTTTCTGGTACACTACATGGCCGGCCAAAGGCTGGACCCGGCAGTGTTGATTATTCTCTTCGAAAATCTTTTTATGCCCGTGTTTTGGTGCGAATGTTGCAACGCGGTTGAATGGACCCCGCGCCACGCCGCGCCACGCTCAGTGCCGATATCGCCGCGCTGCATCCCTGGCGTCCCTGGCGGTCGGGTGCATCGCTCCGTCGGCGGCCCGCTGCGACATTCGGCGCGCGGCCCAGCCCGCAGGCGGATTTCGTTTTCGTCTCTGTCTCTCTCGCGCTCATAGGGCGTCCTGTCTAGGTGCGAGAGAGACAGAGCGACCAAACAGTACTACTTCGAAGTAAGACGCGTGCGTCACGGCGTGGGCGGGCGCCGCGAAATGATTATTTTGAATAGTGCGGCGCAAGGGCGTTCCAGGCGGCGCGGGGCGTTCCGGGAGCGGGGCGTTCCGTGAGCGGGGCGTTCCGGGCCTCGGCGAACAATGAAAATACCCCCAGGACACCCTCCCTCGCGGCCTCGTGGATCCGCCACTGGATCGGGGCGTGGCCGGGCGTGGCGCACCGCGCTGACTGCTGAGGGCACTGTACCGAACTCGCGGCTCGACGGGGGAGGGCGGGGCCGGGGCGGGGCCGGGGCGGGGCCGCGCGGGGAAGTTCAGGGCGTGCAGGGCGGGGCCGGGGCGGGGTAGTGCGGGGCGGGGCGGGGTCGGGCGGGGCTGTTAGGGCGGGGCGGCGGGCGGGGCGCAAGCGGACGGCGCTGGGCGGGGCCGGGGTGGTGCGGGGGAGGGGAACGGGGCGTAATGATAGAGTACTCCGGCGTCCGCGGCGGGGGGGGCGGGGGAGGCGGGGCGGGGCGGCGCGCCGAGCGAGCAGCCTCGTCTGGAGGAGGAACGCCGAGGAACGCCGTCTGTAATATTTTTTATTCCGTCTCTCTTCAGGGACGAATTCGTCTGATCAACACCATTCTCTCGCGGGATGCAATCCTTGGTCGCCTCGCATCGCGAGTGCGGGCACGGGCGCACTGCGAGTGTCCCTGACTGTACCGCCACCCCACCGTATATCTTGCGCTGTCCGCCACGCCGGCCCCGCCCCGCCAGCCCCGCCCCGCCGCGCCCGCCACGCCCGTTTGGTGTGCGCGGCGCGCGGTGCCGCGCCACCCCACCCCGCCCCGCCACCCCGCCCCGACACTTGGAGGCGCGGCGGCGCGGCCCGCGCGGCGGCCCCGTCTTTGCCCCACTATCCACTAACCTAACTCAACCGCGGCTGCCTCGCCTCACCTGGAAAACTGCCGGCCGGTTTCCCCCCGGTCGATGCAGTGTGCAATGCAGGCAAGTCTTGCGGCAACTTCCTCCCAGGCGCCCTTTGCCTTTGCCTTTGCCTGTCCTCCCTCGTTTTTTCCAGGCGCTTTTCCAGGCGCTTTTCCAGGCGCGGATCAAGGAGGATCAGCTTGTCTCACTCGCATCCACGGTTCATGCGAAAATGTAAGAGGACCCGTGTGTCTGCGCCATGCCGGGCCTAGCCAGGCCGTGCCGGCATTTAGATAGGGAGAATCTTGACGGATGAGCCTGTTACGCTTTATTTCAAGCGTAAACTGAATACGCTTGAAAACAGTGGGTTATATGTACCACGCTTTAGTTTTACCAGTGTATGAAGAGTCCAATACAGCTGATGTTTCATCCGCCAACAGGCCATGCAAAGTCGACTTTGAGCTAGACAAAATTGAAGGTGGAAAAAAGTTACCTTATTGGCCCTTGTTTCGTATGGCCAAGTACTGTAACACATCAAAAATTCTCATATGCCGGTTGAGATAAAAATCAAAAAATTATAAAAAGGTCGATGTACGACTTCTTGACGACGTTTCCCGTCGTGGTGCGGGGGTCAGTGTCCTGATACGTGTCGCCATGTCCGGTGCCAGACTGCCAGACTGCCAGACGGCAGGGACGGGTCAGTTAGATACGACACGCCGCCACCAAATCTTTTCGAGGGATCTTTTTGTCATACATTTCGGGGCGAGTGTCAAAAGGCAAAAGGCTAGCCCAGATAGTGTGGTGCAGCGAGCAAACAAGGCGAACAAGGCGGAGTGACCTGCACTGGGTGACGTCGACGAGCCAGGCGGAGCCTCTCTGTCTCTCTCGCTCCTACACGGGGCGCCCATGAGCACGAGAGAGACATAGCGACGAAAACGACTCTCGGAATCAGTCTGCAGCCTCACTGATAATACGGGGAAGGCGCGTGGATTCGAATCGGAATCGAATCGGCATCCGATGCATAGTATTGAGGAGTCAGTGGACTCTGGGATGGGTCAGTGCCCCACCCCGCCCGCTCCGTCTCAGAATCGCGCCAGGCAATTGTATCCAGAGGAAACGGGCGACGACCGGGTCATCCACTGGTTGGTGACGCGACAACCTAGTCGAGTGCTCGAAGGCCTCAGCGAGTACTCGAACGCCGCGTCGAGGGCCTTATCGAGTACTCGAAAGCCTTGTCTCTCTGTCTCCGTCCCTGACCCTTACGGGACCCACGAGGACCCCGAGAGAGGCACGGCGCCGAAGGGCTGCAAGGAGGGTAGGAAAGCTGGCCTTTGGCAAGGGGTGGGGTTTCGCTGCAGTTTTCCGTTTCAATCTCCTTTTGCAAGGCACTGCCATTAATTAGAAGAAGGGGGTCGCCTTCCTCGAACCTCGAAGCAGCAGTTGCGAAAGTGAAGAGTATGTTTGGGCGCGAGACAACGGACGTGTATTCTTTTTCCTCTGCCATTTCTGTTGCACTAATTTAGTAATCAATCTGACGGTAAACAATCAATAATCGAGTTGGCTTTCGATCCCTGTTCCAGACGGCGGCGCGGCCGCGACGGCGGAGGGCTCCATGACGTGCTCCTGGTGCCACCAGGGCGCACCTCCCAACCGGCCCTTCTCGCTCCGCAGTCCGGGCGGCCACCTGGCGGCCTTCTGCTCCGAGGTGTGCTTCACGCAGAGCCGCCGGGCCTCCTTCAAGCGCTCCAGGACGTGCGACTGGTGCCGCCACGTCCGGCACACCGTGAGCTACGTCGACTTCCAGGACGGCGAGAACCAGCTGCAGTTCTGCAGGTACGCGTCCGAAAGACTGTCCGCGGCGGTTCGCCCTTCCGAGAGGTGTTCGCCGTCCTCTGGCGGCAAGGGTGGGTGTTTCATCCCGGACCGTCCCGGACGCCGGCCAGCCAGGCAGCCCGAGCTGGCCGCGCAGCCGCGCAGGGGTGGGTTCGGATATCAGCGACGCGACCGGGTAGGGCTCGGCCACGCCGGGCGACGCGGTGCAGTGCCGTGCCGTGCCCTGGCGCGGCCTGGCGGGGAGACACCCGACACCAGACACACAGGGACCAGAGACACCCAGCACCAGCCGCGCAGCCGCGCCGTGCCAAGCCGCGTGCACCGCGGGCCGCGCCGTGTACGTGTACCTCGTCTTCCTCTCGCCCGGTCCTTTTACGCGGAGGTCGCAGTGCCTGTCTGCCTGTCGCCGATTGCCTGCCCGCGCGTCTTACAGGGTCGCAACGTGGCCCTCCCCGGCTCCGACACCGCCCGGCGCAGCGCAGCGCAGCGCGTCACAACAGGTTGACCGGTCGCAGCTGCCAAGCGATTCCGAAGCATCGTTTCGTCGCTCCGTCTCTCTCGCACCTGCAAGGCGCTCGTCACGAGCGCGAGAGAGACAGAGCGACGAACCAACTGTTCGGAATCAGCCTGCTGGCGCCTCGTTTGAACGGCACGGGCCGCGCTGCCGCGCGCGCGGTGCGCACAAAAGCAAGAGTAAGCAGCCAGAAGCAAGGCGCAGAGCACCGCCAGAAATCCGCGCGCGGTGCGCAGTCCTGGCACCGCCGGCGTGCCCGTCATGCCCGCGCCTTTGCCGAGCACGTCCTGGTCCTCGCGGGGCGTGGCGGGGCGGGGCGGGGCGGGGCGGGGCGTGGCGGGGCGTGGCGGGGCGTGGCGGGGCGTGGCGGGCAGATAAATGGCTTGGCCCATGTGAATCACGGACGACGGCGACCGCCCCGCCCCGCCCCCTTTCCCCGTCGCGTTGGCGCAGTTTGATTCATTTCTCCCCATTCTCTGCCGAAATGCACTGATCAGGGCTGTGTCCTGGCCGCCGCCATGCTCGGCGTGATTACGACAACGTCGGCGTCCTCATGGGTCCTCATGGCGGCGTCTTGAGGCTGTGACCATGTGTGACGACGGCTCGCGTTCGACGGCGTCCTCGCGGCCAGGCTTTACGGTCCGCACTAACCGTACCCCGTACCGCACGGGCCGGGACGTGTTCACGTTTTCCATAATTGATATTTCTGTTGTGCCATCCGACGCCGGCGCGGACACGCGATGCTGGTGCGCGATGCCCCCCGCCGCCGCGCACCGTCACTGGATCCCGCGTCTCGGGTGTCCTCCGCGTCCCTCTTGGTGCCCGTGCTCGTACTCGGCCTCGGCCTCCGCGCGAGGAGGCCTCCGGTTCCACGCCACCCCCTGGCAGCCCCGGCGAGGCCGCGCTCCTGGCAGGGTGGCCGACGAACGCCGACGAACTCGCCAAGGCGGGTCGCCGTCGTTAGGTCGCCTGTTTCAACGGAGGACCTTTCTGTCGCTGTCTCTCTCGCAGCCATGCGCCGCCGCGTGGCGGTGCAAGAGAGATAGTGTTCGGAATCGCCCTGCAGCGCCGTGCGCCGTGTTGCGGGTGTCGCCTCCTGCTCAGCATGCTCACGTTTGCCCCCTCCATCCCCCACCCCGCTCCTTTTCTGCTCGGCCTTTGAAAACGAGACGCCAAGCATTCCTGTAACAACACCCCGGACCACGGCCAAGTCACGGCCGCGTCCGCATCGCGTCGCTCGTCGCGACACGGTGCCGGCCCGGCCTGGGCCCGGCGGATCGATCGTGTCTCTTTGTCACTCGGCGAGTCGCCTCGCGTCGCGGACGCGTCGCGGACCCCTTTGGCGGCGCGGCGGTCGCGCGGGACGGATGCAGTTTCCGCCCCGCGGAAAGCAAAGCCAAAGCGGCGCGCGGTCAAGCCGAATGATTCATGGATGCACACTGCAGGCTGATTCTGTCTCTCTCGCACTCGTGGGCCGTCGGGCCGTTCCGTAGGGGTGCGAGAAGGACGGCGAGGACGACGCGCGGAATCGGTGCGCTGGCCAGCGCGCTTGAGAACCTCCATGCACTCTCTCACTCTCTCACGCACACACGCTTTGGCAACGCATGCAGATGCGCGGCAAGCCCTCTCCTCGCCGACATCAAAGGCAGGGCGCGGCCTTTAATTGGTACAGTGGAGTGGGACAATGAGCCGCGTTGTAATTGAAATCGTATAGAACACGACTCGGCCTCGGCCGGGCGCCACTGCCAGGGCACTGCCAAGGGTGCGGCTGTCCGTCCTGTCACCCCGACGGGACAATCCATGAGTGCGAGAGAGACAGACTGACGAAAGCACGGCTCGGAATCACCTTGCAGGGACTGCGTTTTGCTGGACCAACTTTTGCATCCGAGGAGTCGCGGCACCTGTTATTCGACAAACGTCACACGTTCGTTAGAACGTGAATCGTGCCATGTTCGTTTGAATGGGGTGTCACGTTCGTTAGCGGCCTTCTAACTATAGCGCGTCACATTAGTCGGAACGTAGATTGGATTCGCGTTCCAACGCATGTGACGTCATATTCAAACGTACATGACGATCGTTCGTGGGAGCTCCAAGCCGCTGGGTGCCGTGCCACAGTACTTGCACTGACGGACTGCTTTGTGTTTGTTGCAGCGATAAATGCCTGAACCAGTACAAAATGAACCTGTTCTGCCGCGAGACGGCGGCCCACCTCGAGATGCACCCGCACCCCGCCGCCACCCCCGCCCCCGGGAAGCCTCTCATCACGCCGGACCTGTGGATGAAGGACTGCGGCGAGGGCTCCGGCTCGCCCGTCGACGGGGACCCCGACGCGGACCAGGACCACGACGAGGACGGCCGCGGCGACCACGACGACGACCGCGTGTCCCCGCGGCCCAGCTCCGCCACCCCGCCGCCGCGCACCAAGACGCCGGCCGCGCAGGGCGGGCAGGGCGGGCAGGCCGCGTGCACCACCACGTCGTCGTCGTCGTCCGGAGACGCGCCGCCCGCGCACTCCGCCAGCAAGGGGAGAAGGTAAGCGCCAGCGCCGGTCTGTGACGTGAGGCGCGGGTCTAGGATTTCCCGAAGGAGGGGCTAAAGCGGCACTTTGCCTGCTCAGACGGGCAATCTAGTACCGAAATGGGGACGGGGGAAGTACCCTCACCCCCGTGCCTGTGTGACGTCGTGTGTTTTCGAACACCCTTATCGCCGAGCCTTCGATGTACTGCGCCTGGCATAGCCTGGCGGCGCCCCAAAACCCCGAAACCCCAAAACAGCGAGCATCTGGGCCAGCCGAGCCATAATCATGTTGATTGCGCGTTGCAATCGGGTGCGGGTCGCGTCGGCTCGCGTCCAAAAGGACGAAAATCGCTGCCCAGGCCCAATGCGTCTTGGACTGGAACAAGGCCATCTCGCACTCGAGATTTTGGCTGTGGTGAAACTCGCTGATGATTGACCTCCTGCTTTGTTTGTTCCTCCGCCAGCTCGCGATGCAGCCGGGGGAGGCGGCCGTCCTCGTCCTCGTCGGCCAGCACGTCGGCGGCGTCCTGCGTGGCCACGGACTTGAGCGTCGCGGCTTTGCGGGTCGACCAGGCGGCCGCGGTGCCGCCGTCGGGGTCGGTAGGGCAGGCAGGGCCTCCTTCGCCTTGTCGCGCGGCGCCACTGCCGGCCGCCGCCCTGGCTGCCCCCGCACTGTCGCTGCAGCCGCCGCCGCACATGCCCCCGCTACCGCCAAACTGGAGGAACCTGCCGATGCTCTTCCCCAAGGGGCTGTTCGGCGCGCCGCCAGGAGCGCAGGGACCGCTGCTGCCGGCTGGAGGCCCTCTGGGCGTCCCTCTCGGGGGGCCCGCCACGCCCAGCCAAGGCCCCACCAGCCCCACCGCACCGCCGGCCTTCATGCAGGCCTTCGGCCCCATGGGTCCCATGGGCCCCACCATGGGCCCCATGGGGCGCGGGCCGGCGGGGATGCCGCCCCTCAGGATGCCGCCCTTCATGGGCCCGCCGAGGCTGCCGATGCGAGACGGGCACCCGGGGCACCCGGGGCCCATGCACCACGTCGCAGCCCTCGCCGGTCCCGCACTGCAAGGCGGGCAGCCCCTGCCGCCCCCGCCGCCGTCGCTGCTGCCCCCCGTGACGGTAATGGTGCCGTACCCCATCGCCGTCCCCATCCCGATCCCCATTCCAATCCCCATTCCCATCCCGATCCCCATCCAAGCCAAAGCAGCCGTCAAGAAGGAGCCCGTGGAGGCCGCGCCGGACGCCCCGGCGGAGGTGGACGCGGAGGCCGCGCTCAAGCCGAAGGCCGAGGCCAGCAGCGCCCTGGCCGCCTTGTGCAACGGCCACGTGGCCCACCAGGGCGACGACGAGGAAGGCCTCCCCGACCACCACGGCCACGGCCCCGCGCACCAGTCGGAGCCGGCGGACGGCGGCCCCGGAGAGACGCCCCCCGCGGAGAGGGCGCCGGAGAGGACTAGTGCGCACCGGAAACGGAAAAGGGTGCCCGTCAACGACATCCCCGTGGAGCCGGAGCAGGCCAAGAAGATGAACAAGTCAGTGCCGGCGTGATGGCGGCACACGCCGCCAGGCCCGCCAGCCGCCACCCAACGTGATAGCATGCCTTCCTGTCATTGTCTCGAGGCCTGCCTTGATCAAATCGTGATTGCTTCTTTTTAATTATTGTTATGGTTCTTTGACGCGCAAATGGTGCTCCTAGTACTAAGATGTCGAAATTTCTCATATGATTATTATATTTACAGTAATAAATGTTTCCTTTTGTTAATGAAGTGTTTGAGAAAAATGTTGAAAGTTTCCCTTCCCAATATCCAGAATTTTCACTAAAAATTTTCTTGCCTTTGTTTTTTTATTGTGCTGGGAAGGTAGACCGCCCATTCGGCACGTCGAAGGGACTACGTACATACAGTGTTTACCACCCAGATCCTCTCGGTCCAAACTAGAGACCCTCCCGGGGGTCTCTAGTCCAAACGAGACCTCAAAACAAAGATCAAAGACCCCTCCGAAATGGGTGTCAGCATTCCTCACATGAATGAATGTGAAATAGTTACTGTACAAGTAGTGAACTTTAAATGCAGGAAAAATATCATGATGCTATATTTTCATTTAAATAAAAAACAAAACAGAAGGATTTCTTTGATGATGGAGTATCACACGAACATAATAATAAACAATAATTACCTATAGTAATTTTTCCTAAAATTAACAATAGAAACATTGTTTTACAAAAATAGATTCTACATTAAAGGGTGCTTCTAAAAGAAACATAATTATCTTATGTGACAAAACAGGGATACATATTTAATTCAATAGTGATAGTGTTGAAGTACAATAACAACCAATACTATAGGTTTCAAAGAGATCAATATTTCTTTGATAGAAGTAAATCATTTCTTGTTAAGCATCTTACTATTTGGTCCAAATAGTCCTAAACTACTGAAGTAATAAAATAATGATCATCTACAAAATTGTCAGCAAAATTAGTTATTCACATATCTAAAAATAGAAATATCTGAATTATTACAAATGGGAGAGCATCTAATATTACTGTTGGTATTGGGGGTCACTAGAAAACAGTTTGCTTGTAAACGAAATTGCAAATAACATAGGGCAAACAAGGAAATACAGCACAAGAAAACACTAAACAAGGACCTTAAGCCAATTAGATTTGGAAAAAGAAAAAAAAAGTTGTTCAAACTTGGTTAAAATCTAATTTAAAATAACAAGGTAGCAACTTTGCTACTCTACAGAGTCAATGATGGAGAAAACAGATTTTTCAAAGGTAGTAGTGACCTTGTGTCACCATGCACTTTTTCCAAAACAAGCGAAAGTTTAAGACATAGCACTGACACAAACAGTATCACAGAATAAAACAAAATATTCTTAAAAACTAACATCTAGTGTTAAATTAAAACACCACATCAAATGTTTAGGAAAACAAAAAATCACATGGAATTCTGATTGTGTAAGATAGATGGGAAAAAAAATAACTACATTAAGTGAAGGTCGTTATACAGTCGTTTAAAGCGCTGTTGGAAATTGTAATCATGGCCTGGTCATTACGCTGAAGAATCTCTGTCTGGCCCGTAACGTAATGTGCACAGTCATCTACACTGGCATTACGTTACGGTTCCAGCAAAGGAGAATCTCTGGTGCAATAATCGTATGGAGATAGGATCTCAATTTCCTTTAACGCTTTAAGCGGCTTTCATTGTATTGTCATCATTTGCCAGTCACCTAAAGTCATTCAATAATTGAGAAATAAAAGCCGATTGTTCACACTTCTGGGAAGATTGATGACGACGGTAGGTAATAGGACAATCAAGGGAGCTGCAATCTAAAGGTGCAGAGCGACCAAGGCACGATTGGCAAATCTGTAACCACACATAAATAACAAATACCAAGCATAAAATCAACAATGGAGCAAGTTTGAAACATAAAATGCTCACCTTTGTAATTGATGCATGTGTCAATTCCAAATTGTGAAGCTTGCTCATCAAAGAGGTGACAAGTAGTTGTGGTTTTGATTGGCACTTCACACAGACTCCTCCATGAGTTAAATCTCCACAACAGGCGCACTCCATAGTTGTGAAATATTGAGAGATAGTTTTTTTGTGAGATAGGTTGACAATAGGCAGCGATAGTTTACTTCTTCTGGGCAGATCTGAATACCTAATAATAATAATAATAATAATAATAAAGAAATGATTGAATGAAGTCACCTTGGACCCAGTTTTACTGGAGAGGGTGCTAACATCACTTACCACGAGAGAACATCAGCACCCAACAATGAAAAACATCGAGCAAGAGGCGGAATGATAGCTCTGGTTACATAATAGACAGCATTGTACCGCAAACTTGGATCAGAAAGTAACTCTTTTGGATGCCGTACAAGATGGATCAAAGCTGAACCAGGAGGTCCATTCGTCACAACATATGGGACTCTCTCTCCCATGCGCGGTTCAGATCTGCGGTCGTGACGAAGCCAACGTCTACAGATAAATCAAATCACAAAATTAATGTTGTTCTTATAACTTCTTAAGCAGCCAGAATGAAAAAAGAGCATACTTAGTTAGTTCAAGAGCAGGAACACAAGCTCCTGCTCGATAATTTTCCTTCCCACGGTATTCCCGAGCAAATATTAAATCTTGAATATTGGCACGCCCTGCTAATATTTTGGAAAACTGATGGCTCACATAAGCCTTAACTGAACTAACATCACGTGTTTCGAAGAGTATCTTCAAAGATTTTTCAAGCATCTGTAAAAAGAAAACCAAGATAAATAAGTGGGAGAAACAAACTAAAAATCAGCTTTAACTCTTTTCTTGAACAGCTCAGACGGTCTGGACAGCAAAATGTGGGAGAGGTGATACCTTAGCAACGGCTGGACATCCATCTCTTCGCACAGTTTCAATTCCTTTGGCTTCATAGACCGGCTCGGCCTGGTCTGGACTTTCGTACATGAATCCAACATACCGTTTTTTGGTCTGTTTGTGTAGAAGAAGGTACCATTAGTACACAACAATATGTTACAAAAGCAAAGAAAAGCAAAGGCACTTACTTGCAAAATACAAGGTTGGTAAACTTTCTCTAATTTCAATTTGACAGGAGATGGATTACTTTCAGTGACAGCAGCAGCTATTTCAGCGCCTATTCTGAAAGCCTCTTCCCGGCTTCGGCCAGGAATAAGCACAAATAACGAATCTGTGTCGCCATAGACAACTCTGGCTCGCCATTCTTTGTTATTCTGCACCAGAGTAATCGCCCGCTCCAAGGTTTCCCTCCCTTTGCTGACTACACTATCACCAACCTAGAAACAAGTAAAAATGGAGGGAATGGACATATTCATTGTCAGACTAATACAAGATTTTTAAAACATGGTTTGCACTATTACCTCAATGCATGGCATACGTCCAGAGAAGTTAGCTGATGTATAACCATAGGTCACATTAGCAATGAGTTTTAGTCCAAGTTGACGGGCATGGAGAACCCGTTGCAAAGTATGGTCTTTCTTATGAAGTTTCATTGACTGTTTGACTGCAAGGCGAGCTTCTAAAATTTCTTCCAACATGCGTGGTAGTACACCTTGTCGCACTCTTTTTGTGACAAAAGCGATACCACTTGGTGATACAGAGATCTCATCCCTCAATTGTTGAAGGAGAGAGGTTTTTACTCGTAGTTCGGAACACCCAAATTCAAAATGACCTGATCTAAAGGCACATAGATTTAAAAGAAAATTAAACTAACAAAAAAAAAAAAAAAAGTAATAATACTATGACAAAAATCAACAGATCAGATACTCACTTTCCTAGGTGCTCCACCCTTCCAAGGCAAGTGGAGAAGCAATAGTTATATGCAATTATCATAGAGGGGTACAAACTTTGAAAGTCCAGTACTATCATTGGATCATTGTAAAATCTAAAATAATGTATTATTAGCGAATTATTACATGGGTTACATATATCAGGAGCACAAGAACATATTCTGCTTGTGTCAGAAAAGAATTAAACAATTACCTTGATTCGGGCTCCATTATTAGAGGTAAACATTCTGGTGCCCTCATATGTGCCCTTTGTTGGACAGAAGGTGAAACAGGAATGAAATTCAAGGGCTTTGCCAACCTGAGCATCATTGACTCAACTCTAAACTGGAAATAGAAAGGAAAAAAAAACATGGTGAAAACAACAACAAAAAACGGCAGCATTAATGTTCATTTTTACCCAAAACACAGGGTTTATCTTCATTGATCTAAACTTCAAATGGAACCTATAGCCCCATACATGCACTTATGCATGATATCCTCCAAAACACAAAAACTCTTCACAGAAATTTTCCCCAAATAGGGTTGTTAACGTTAACAACCCTGCCCCCAAACAAGGATAGCATTACACGAACACAGGAAATAAAAAGTAGCACATGAATTTCTTGATTAAAGTAGACACACTAAATAAGCTCAGTGTTTAAAAAAAATAAAAATTGAAAAACAAACCTGCGAGCCTCTGGACAGCACTTCAAAAAATTGAATGCCAAACAGTCTTGCTAATTCACTGGTCCTTCCAACCAAATCAAGTTGATCAAGAAGCCTGATAATTCCAGAAACCCTTTGTTGATAATACTGGACAGTTATCCACCGATGTAGGTGAGAAGGATGTTCCCACCAACGGGACAGGTTTTCAAACGAATGATGGCTTACACGCTTGTGCAGAATATGGTACATCAAATTTTCAAATGTATAGCTCTGCAGAGCAACCTATAAAATGAATAATAAGATTTTTAAAAACTCCAATTACAGAAGTGGTAAATTCTCCATCAAAAGGTTCACCTCTGATCGAAAGAGCCTCCATGCATCCAACACAATTCGTCCTATGATTTTCAGTCCACCAAGTCCATTATTATCTTCCAAATCTTGTTCCTTTCCTTGCTTTTGGTCAGGAACTCTTGAGAACTCTTGGATAATATTCACACCTAAGACATTGGCGCGTTGCAAAACATAGCCCCATGAAAGCATCTCAATCTAGAATCATGCAAAATGAACATGAGAATTGAAAGGAACCATAATGCAGCTTCTGAAATCCAGGGCAAATGCTTTTGAAATTACCTCAAAGCCTGCCAAAATGTCAGGGTCCCATTTATGCATTAAAGACACAAGGCTTTGAAGTAAGGATTTCTCATCATTTACATACTCTACTTCACCGCTAATTCCACATCGGTTTAGGAGAGGTGTTGAATTACTGGAATTAACAACAATAATTCCTAGAAATAAGCAAAGCAAATTAATTAATTTATCAGTAGTAAAAGATATGAACTGCTACAGTTGCTATAACATGTGAAATGTATGTACCATTCACACTAGTAGGAGTTTCAACATCTTCTGGTACATCATTACAAACAGAATAAAATATTGCTCGAATAGGATCTCGTTCAGGATCTGGATTCAAGGCGCCACAGGTACATATGTGAACTTCCATGGTCAATATTGTTATGTATTGATGCTAGAAGAAATTTAAAAGTAACATTAGCCAATTATTAAAAAAACAAAGCAGTTACACATATACTCAACAGATACCTCTTTCTTAGTCTTGGCAGTCTGCAAATTTTCAAGAACCATTTTGAACCCTGGAGATGCCGCTATACCTTTTATCTGGCAAGCTGATGCGTCTGGGTCATGTCGAAACAATGGACTTGCAGCATCTTTGCAAAACTGTGAATCCTGCAGTAGGCGCTTAATAGATGAACTATTAGGACTATTACTTTGAGAGACATTAGAGCCTTCCATCTCCAAGGGCGAGACACCCATTTCACTCTCTTCTTTTTCATCAATAGAGATGAGTGGAGTTGGATTATTTGAGGTAGTCTCTAAACACCTTTGAGACTTTCTGTTTGCCTTAGACTGTGACCTGGTCAAAATAGGAGTAAGAAGAGGTGAGGGCACTTTCCTTCCTTTGTGTTTTTTGATGCTTCCCTCAGGTGTGCTCGCTTCAATATTCCTAAAAGCCTGTGACAATTTAGCAGGAACAGAAAGTGATGATGGATTAACAGAGCTCTGTATCTCTAAATTTGTCTCTTTCTCCTCAATTTCTTTCTTCTTTGCTTTCAACGCCATCTCTCTTGCCCTGGCCCAAACGGCTACATCTTTAACCTTTGGTGGTTTCTTCACAGGCGATATGACAGTTACTCTTTTGTTGCAATGGGTTGACACCATATGATTAAAGTTGCCCTTCACTTGGCTGAGTCCCCAGCACTGTGCAAACAGTTGTTTTTGTTGGCAACTTAATCCACGCAGTCCATCAATGCTACTGTGAAACTCTTCCAAATGAAGGCAATTGTGGCTTGTCAGCTCAAGCACATTACTACCGACATCAACTTTCCCTTTGACATCATGATAGTTGCTAAAGTAAGGTTCTGGAATAACAACTTCAGGTAAGTTTAAGGTAGGTAAACTCTGCAAGACTGCTTTCCTAGATGGAGGTTTCTGCAGTGTTTTGAAATCAGAAGGGAGTTTTACTGCAACCCTTTCTCCGGAGCCTCCTTTCTCTTTGTCTTGACCACAAGGAATGTCTGATGACTCACAACTCAAGATGATGTCTTCCTGATTTGATACACTAGGTTGTGAAGAAGCGACAGATTTGCCCTTTTCAGGTGAAAAGGGCTGCTCAATACAGTTATTTTTTTCCAAATCAATCTTAGACTCTAAAAGACTTAAACTACTAAAATGACTAATATTTGGAGACATATCATGAAGGGTTTTGTTTTCTTCATGCACATCAATTGATCTTTCACTAAACATGTCCACTATGGAGGACTGGCTACTTTTTCTTGAAGTGTTGTCTTCTGTTTGTAATATTAAATTTCTCCCACACTCAACATCCTTCGATTCAATAGATTTTAAGCGCTTCAACAAGTCTTGTCCAAAACGCATCTCATTTGCAGTTGTAATATTATTTTCTTCCATCTCGCCCCTAAAATGAAGAAACAAAAGGGGGAAGGAAGGTGGAAGGGAAAAATAAACGATTAGTGAAAAAAGTATGAATGCAGTCAATCAAATGTGATTAAACAGAGCATTCTTGAGAGGTACCCAATATTTTCACTAACAAGTCTCAAATGTACCTCCGCAACTCACATGAAGCCATGTCTCATAGGAGCAAACCCACTGAAGTTTGATTCAGGGCAAATATCTGAAAGAAAATTGAAATGTTTAGATGAGGTTGAAAACACACGAACACGTCACTGTTGTTCACAGCAGTTCACCACAACCGGTGTTGTTCTACATACCCGGCGAAATTGGTACAGGGGGGGACCCATCTAAATTACACCGATCTGGAGAAATATTAGGGGACCACATAGTCCATGGTCCATAGCGCTTGTCAAACCAGTGAATGACAGACTTTGGTATCGGCCTAGAAGGTCCTGGTATTTCAACGTTTGGAGTATCTTGATTGTCATCCCTCTGAACCTTAGTCTTCTGTTGGAAGTCTTCCTCAAAAATTTTACGTTTTAGTGGTTGGTGGGCAGTTTCAGAAGTCTCTTGACTAGTTGAGGATGAATTTGAGCTGCTTTCAGTAGATGCTCCATCAACACACACAATTTGATTGGTAGGCCTTTTATAATTCTTAGAAGGAGAATTTTTGGTTTTGACTGGAATCAAAACATTTTCATCCACAGCATCAGATGAGCTGTTCAATTCAAGATCAATACTACTTGTGTCCAGGCTTATAAGTAAACTGTCATTTGTTGACTCATTTAAGTCTTCCTCTGTATGTGACAATCCTTCTTTTAAGTTTTTACCAGTCTTTTTTGGTATCTTGAAATTTGTGAGACGGGTTGAGCATTGTGCTTCTGGAATAATAGCCGAAATTGGCGTTGGTATTGGTTTAGCAGATGGCAAACTCGTGGCACTTAATTCACTAGCTCTTCTGGAGCTTAATGGAACCAGTTTAGTGGATGAGCTTTGCTTTCCCTTTGCACTTGAATTGCTCTCTCTCCTGGAGCTTAATGGCGCTGGTTTCCCCTTTGCACTTGAATTAGTACTTGCTTTTCTGGAGCTTAATGGTTCAAAGTTTGTTGATGAGCTTGTCTCTTCCTTGCCCCTTGAATTACTAGCTCTTCTAGAACTCAGTGGTCCTGCTTTAGAGGATGAACTTTGATTTGAAATTATTCCACCAATGGAAGGACCTATCAGGGAGTCCTTGCCCATCGGTCTATTTTGGCTATTTTTCAATATTGAGACCATAGGTTTTGTCTTAGTATCCTGATTTCCATTATTTGGCGATGTCAACTTTATATTGAAAGAAGATTTACAAACAGTATTTCTTTTCAAACCAGTTGGACTATCTTCAGGCATAGATTTAAGACTTTTTACAGGTTCCCTGATTTGGTTTTTGATGGACTCATCACAGTTCTTTGATGCAGATGTCTTTCTGTCAGTACTTGCCTGCTGATACAATAATTTACTCTCCTTGCAACCAGCCTTCTCTTCTTTTGAGCTATTCACCATGGCATCAGACCCTTTTGAGGATGTCTTTTCATCCATCAAAACCTCAACATTCCTCTGGCCTGTACTAGTGTTTATGACATGAGTCGCAGATAGACATGACAAGTCCTCAGTTTTGGGAGGGGATTGGTCAAGACTAGAGTCAGTGGACAAATTTAAATTCATCATTTTAAGTGATTTTGATATTCGTTGTTTCTTTGACCGTTGAGACAGAGGCACATCATCCTGGTCAACAACTGATTCGTCCGTTTTCCCACACTCTTCGTCAAACTCCTGGAGAGTTTTGCAAGAGATCTTGATTGATGTTGGTTTCGAGCCAGGCCTAGCGACATACTTCTGAGGGGTCGCCTTGCGGGATTTTATAGAAAGTGGTGATGGAGACTTTTCCTCCTCAAACTTAACATCTTGAGGTGCTGAATTTTCAATGACTTTTTCCACTTCCAATTTCTTTATAGGTACTGAATTACTCTGAGCAAATGCTCTTGGCATTCTTTTCTGGCATAGAGGAATCTTGTCATCTATTTCTTCTGGTATTTGGTCAACTTGATTATTATCTAAATACGTAGAGTTGGATAAATCAGTAGTTGTTCTAGTTCTATTTCGTAGAGACTTGACATGGGAAGTACTTTGTTCTGTGACCGAAGAGGTCTCAATAGATTTTTGGTCCCCAGCCTGGTCCCCAGAAGTCTTTTCCTCTTCAATTCCACAAGAGTTGAGTTCACTTTTACTCAGCATACTTTCATGTGACAAGTTGAGGTCTGAGCCCTCTGCTTTGAATGATATATTCCTCAGCTCTGATGTACTGAAAGATCTGCGAGTCCTTCCACAGCTGAGTACTGAGGATTTGGTACAAGCCCTTGAAAATGACAAATCTGAGGTATTCTGTGAATTGGAAGACTTATCTGTCCTTCCACAGCTGGGAACTGAGGATTTAGCATGAGCCCTTGAAGATGACGAGGCAGGGGAATTCTTTGAACAGGAAGACTTAACAGTTGATAAATTCCCAGTTGACAGTTTCTTGTGGCTCTTAATACCCAATGCAGATTTGTCTTCTAGGACTACATTAAACTTTTTGCAGATATTATAGATATTTTTCTTGGTCAACTTTACTACTCTGACCGAACATGGTTTTAAATAAAGTTCTGCTGCAGTAGCTTCTTCATTAGAAGCACAAGTTCTTATCTTCCGCTGAGCTGATACAGACAATTTAAGTCGCCTTTTCTCCCGTTGAACTCGTTTTAATTCCTTCTTGCTATTACTAGTAGAGTGACGTTTCCTTGATGACATTAACTGGTGCTTCTTTAGTGAAATTGGTCTACCGCAGTAAAATTGAGCAAGCTGCATATTCTTGCCTAATTTTGGTGGGCCTTTTCTTGGCAACTCTCCTCTATGCAAAAGTTCATCTGTTACAGGATCTTCCAAAGCTCTTTGATTGCTTGACTAAATAACAAAAATAAAAAAAAGGAAAAGAAAAAGGGATTTAAAAAATAAGGAAAGAGGGTGAAGATCAGAAAAAAATATTTTGGCAACTACAAGCAGCTGCAGTCTTTAAGAAACAAATCAAAGAGTACCTGAGATGATTCACTTATGACCCTTATGAGCTCCTCTCGCCTAGATGTTGATGGTTCTGGCAAATAATGTTCAGAACCAGCTGATAGGATCTCTCCCATTTCATCATTATCCAATGCGTCTTTCAAGCGATTCAATTCATTGTCTGAGCAGCTAGCATCAGTATTGGAAGATCCCCAATCAAGAGTGTCTCGAATGTCATTGAACATTGTTGTAGTTAACAATGGCTCCATACCTTAAAACAACAAACAAAATATGATAAGATGAAGTAAAATCAAGTTTCAAATCAGAAAAACATGCTTTGTGCAGTGTGGAAATCACTCACTGCTAACAGAAATATCACTGATTGTTCTGGGTGTCATATTTCCATCAGGGCCCACAAGTTCATCTGCATTGTCAGAGCCAAGAATTCTTGTGGGATCCCATGAGTCCGGTGCTTTAGTTTCAACAATAGATGCACGAGTTGTTTTTTTGCGATCTATTGATAGCCTTACAGATCTTCTGACTGACGTACTAGTGGGTTCCTGAAAACCATCCTGGTTTTTATCAGAGAATTTGACAGTGCCTAAATTATTTTCATCAGAGACTACTGATGATATTAGTTCAGTTAAGGACTCCTCCTGAAAAACAAAACAAAAAAAAACACATTTAGTAATTTATTGCAACAAATTCAGAAGACAAGAGGTGAATAATAGATAATGAGTGCTAGCATGGACAGGAGTCCAGTGGAACAATTCGCCTCCGCGATCGTAGAGCTTCCTGAAAGGAAGGTGTAAGGTCACTTTTTCACTGGTGCGAGGAAAAAGGTGATTTGCCACCCCTCCAGGCTGGCTTTGAGTCCACCACTGTCTGCGCTACTAAGTTTGTGTTTGTAAGTTTCAGTAAGTAATATAATAAGTCTTACCTTATCAAGGGGAGCTTGAGGATACAAAGAGGGATCTCCTCGCAATATTGGCTCCTTCCTCTTATTTGCAAGCAAATCAATAAATGTATCGGTGCAATGCTCTGGTTCTTCAGTATCTTCACTGCAGCCAACAGTGGAAGTACAACATGCGACTGGTGGTTGTATATAGTTCTGGTAATCCACTGTAAGAGCTGAACCTGGTCTGACAGCCTCTTCTTCAGACGATGGTAGAATATAAAGAAGCGGTTCTTGTTCCGGAACAGTGTTTTCAATAGTTGACAAAACAAAACTAGGTCCTGCTATCTGTGTTTCTCCTAAAATTGGACTATCACAATAGCTACTAGACTTGATGTTGCCGTTTTCATTCAGTTCTGCTGCATCATACTGAGCTCTCAATGGGTCATCATGGTTGTACATTTCAAGTGCCGCACTTGAGCAAGGGCCTTTAGGATCAGATTGAACTGGCAAACTGGAGTTAACAGGAATTTCACCAAGTGATGGATCAACTGGGAGAGCAGCAGAATCTGAAGTCTGTTTTTTCTTGAAAATTAATTCATTTGTTCCGGGAATAAACCTGCAAGGACCATGGATCTCATTAGTATTGTAGGTGACACATGAGTACAGCATCAATGGATTTACAGGAAAAATCACCTTCCATCAGTTAGGACACTGTTAGGGGCTGTCTGCTGTCTGCTCGTGCCACCCCTCACCCTAATACCAAGACTGCAACAGAAAAATATTAAAAAGGTTACAAACAAAGCCCAAGGCAGCAAACTCCTCACTGATCATCAATGTATATGCCATACCTTTTACGACCTGATTTTGATGGAAGATCATTTACACCATCCACTTGGGGAATTTGAAAATTTTTCCTGCAAATGAGATAATTTATAAATGCATGCCTTTACACAAATTCAGGAGACCAGACATAACTTGACCAAGTCATACCTTGATTTACGAGTCCCTTTGGTTAAAACGTCACAGTTTCCATCTGATTGAGGTATTTGTAAGGTATCTCGGCTGAAACGTGAAAAGGGATTTCTAGAATGAATGGCAATACAAAATGCAATCTGAGGTACAATGTTGTGTAATGTGGCTGCTGAACCTAATCACAACAAAGATTCCGTTAAACGAAGGGGAGGAGTGAGATTTACTTACTTAAGTGTAGATGGACCTGGTTGTGGTTCATTTTGAATAAGCTCATTTAAAATTAAATTTTCATCAACATCAGGCATTGTTAGATCAAATAGCTTCATATGATCATCCTAGTAAAAACAAAAATAATTATTAAAAAAAATTATCAAAGTATTAATACTTCAAAACTAATCTAGTTTTATTATAAAATGAAAGCTCTTTGCCGACATACCTCCTCCGCTACCAATGTTTTATCTTCCCAACGTTCATCTTCACCATCACTGTTTTCCTCCTCATCATTACCAGCAGATTGACTAGGCCGACATATAGTTTTGGAGGTTTGAGAGCCAAGTACACTGTCATCATCGACGTTGGCCGATCTTGTGTCAGCAAGTGTTTCAAGCACATCCAAAAGCTCAAGATCCTCTAAATCCACTAAATTACAGGGGATAAAACAAAGTCAATGATATTGATATATGAAGAGGTGGTAAATGAAATTAATTTAATGAAATTAAAATTCTGTGTTCCATTAGTAGCGACAAAATTTCAAAGGTGTGGAATGTGGAGAGGCCAACTTACATGCTAGACTGTTGTCCAGTGGCTGAGTAAGGTGCTGACTAATGGAACTATTCATTGCAGCAATGTCTTCATCAACAATTGTATCTTCTAACAATGCAGCATTTTCAACCTCAGAAGGATCTTGGACATCTAGACATGGTTCTGACACATGCAAACTTACAAAGGAAGCATCTAGAGCTGATGTATTGGGTGGCTCCTCAATTGCATAAGATTTGTTCACCAAAGTAGATAGTTCTCCAGACAGAGAACTGTCATCACTTGACTGTAAAAGGAAAACAAATACATTTCACATTACAAACTTGATGGAAGGATGAGAACCCAGAATGAGGGATCAACATCTCAAAAGTCCATTCCAATGAGTGTGTCGGCTAACCTGAGACGGATTATTCAAAATTCGTTGAATTTTATCAAGATAAAAGAGCTCACTGGATGTTGAGTTTTGAGGAGGCCTTTGAGAGTGTAAATGTGGCACATCAACTGGGGTTCCTTCTTTCATTGATCTCCTCCTATTTTCATCTTCCCAGATCGCAGCAATGCCTGGGTTACAAATTTGAGCATTGCCTGCAAAAAAAAAAATTGAGTTAATAAGAGGAATTTTCGGTTCACTTTTGAAGGCTTCATAAGCAAAACCCTTCAGTACATTGTGTCAAAGAAGTTAAACGCACCTTGCGACGAAGGTCGATTTGAAATGAAGCAGGCAGCTGCATCCACCTCAAATTGTGATGAGCTCACAGCCCGAATAGAGTCCGGAAGGATGTGCTCTGCAGGTATCTTGGAGAGAAGTTCTGTGAAAGAAACAAAACAGGATAGGATACTAAGTCAACAATGCAAGGAAGTTTCAAGACTACACCGAAAGGCACAGAAAATCAGACACCACGAATCAAAATCTGCAATAAAACCAATCAATTACCTTGGAAGTTGGTTCTCCTGTATTTCACGTGTTGAAAATCAATAAAGCTCATTCCATAAAGATTAAAATCAATAAAAAATTGAAGAATAAATGGAATATGAGCTTCATGTGGCTGAAAAACCTTATTCAGAATGGCACCATTCTGAAGCAAAAGAATAACAGAAGGAGTAATACTTGCACATTGTTGAAAACAAGAAAGAATTCATAAGAAAGGTGGTTACCTGCAGCAAGTTTACAGCCTGTTTGATTACAGAAGGTTTGTAAAAATAAACTTTAAGAAACTGGTGTCGTTTATGATGATACCCATAAAATGGTCTAGGTACAAAAAGGATACATAAAATTCCATTTCATATTTGAAAAATAATGCAACAAGAGAAAGCGAATACTTACATGCCAGATACAAGGACAACTTTATACACATGCTGTGTATTGGATGTAGAGAAACCCGAAGCTATGTTGATTGCTTTGTCAAGACTTGCAGCCAATTTATATGAAAGCTTTAGATGGGGTTCAGCACCATCATATGGTATACATATGTAAGGGAACACGCCGTGAATATGCACACATGTTTTTATGCCTACAACAGAGTTAAGGTTTGTCAAGGTGAATCCACCTTAAGTTCAAATAAAAGATAAAATTGTAGTGAAATTTCAATTAAGGATTCAACACATACCTGAAGGAGTTGTGCCAAATATTCTGATAACGGGGACATGTTTGATAGATGACTTGCGGAAGTCAGAATACGTCACATCAAGTTCAGAAATGGGTGAACTCATGTAATGATCAACTGTGACTATTCTAACTTGAAACATTTTCATTAGTCACTTGCTGTCATCAATTCTGAAACCAACAAATTTTTGAAATATAATTCCACAACGGGAAATGATTTTTCCATCAATGAAAAATCTAATAAATTCCTAAAATGACTGTGTCCTTAATTATTTGATAAATAACACCTGTTCTAAAGGTGAGAAAATGGAAGAGTTAATGGAGAGGAAAGTGGTCATTAGAAGAAAGAGTTCACCCAGAAGAAAAAGGTTTGAGGAAGGCAAAAAACTGAGATTGACTGGATATTACTTCATTCAAGTTGTCAATTAAAATTGTAACTTATACCACAGATAAACTTGGCTTCAAGTTGAGCAGGTGAGGCTAAAAATTGAAAATAAATTGGCATCAGATTTCTCATGATCACCGCAGAAGGCAACAACATATGTTTCCGATTATTAAAAAAACATACGCGGAAACCTGAATGAACCAAATGTTTGAGAAGACACGGCGAAATCTGTTCATTGTGTGAGTTTGTTTATAAACCGGTCGAATGGGTTCATGCCTGCACAGACGCGAGACGCAGAGACATAATTATATCATTTCAGTGCAATAATAAAAAAACCTAATACTTTAAAAAATTGCTGGTAATTCAGCGAACAAAACTATAAATATAAAAAAGAAGGACAAATCTAATTTTAAAGAAGAATCAAGTGAAAGACCACCTGCCCCAGCGGGGGCGGAGGAGGTTAGCGAACTATGGTAACAGGACTGTTTCCTCCTAATCCGTCGAAGATTGGACACTAAATGGTTTGAATGAAAAACAGGACCTCCACGGAAGTTATAAAAAAGGTATCTTACCTTACAAAATAACAAAGGGTAAATGGAATAATATGTCGCAACACAAATTGTACAAAATGCGCGGTAACATCGTGCTCCAAGTTTAAAAACAAAAACAACAATGTTGCAGTGATGGCGAAGAAAATACGGAAGCACGCATGCGCCCGCCCACCCGACCTTTCCTTCCGCCTCCGCCTCCAGTCAGTTTAGAGCCCTACTACATGGAGTTCCGTGCTGCGACGACTACCAAATTTCCTGCATAACATCTGCCACCTTACTGTCCTGGTTAAAAGTTGAAACGACTTTCGCAAAATAATGACGAGGAAAGTCGGGAAGGCGGAAGTGGTTTTGTTTTTTGGCGCAGCTAACTGAACGTACCTTTCGATTCACGTCGTGACCGCAAACAACACACAAAAACACGCCTGCTCCAGAAAGGAAGGAAGTGGCCGGCGGCGCTTGGATAACTATCAACTTACCAGCCACCAGCTTGTGCTGTCTTGCTGCATCAACAATGCAGCTTTGCGGTTTCACCGGTACATCTTTGGGACAATGTTTTTGTGATTCACAGACCAATCAGCGGGCTCGTGGTGAACCGGAACCGCCTCGTGATTCGCGCGAACAAAACAATGACTTCCCTGCCGCCCCCGCCCTTCCTTTGAATCAAAAAGAAAGGGTAGTCATTCACTCATTCACCTCCTAAAGCGCGAACACTTAACGCTTCCGGCGTTTTCTAAGGTCAATGGGAATCCCTTCCGGAACAAAAGTACAAGACTTGGCAGATTTGTGTGTTTGAAGAAAAACTTTGCTTCTTTGTCCTATGCATACAGTTGGATTGTGAATTAATATTTGTCATGCTAACCATTTTTGCCATTTTATCCCAACTTTCCCTGGCGACATTTTAACATAAATGATGGAGAGGGATAATCAGAGAACAAAAACAGGGATACTGCAACAGCATTTTATTCAAAAGAATGAGTAAAAATGTCTTCTGGGTGCAAATGAAAGTAATTGTGGTCCCTAGATAAGCAAGAACCTAGCAATAAACAGCTTAGAAGATAGTCAAAATATACAAGTCATTTCATGACCTGTTTGATACAAAAATAAATCAGTATAAAATTATAAAATACTGTTTGCCTTACCTGAAGCAGTAAGTGCGAGACAAATTAAACAACTATAACCAGGATCACTCTCTACCATTACAAGGTAAATAAATGCATCACATTGTATGTAATTAATTCAAGTGAATTTAGAGAAACATGTCAAAACTACAGTAATCTATTACAGGTAACCCAATTAATACTTATAAGGCAATAAGACTCACAGGTATCCTGTCATCCTCATTAAGATATAAAAATATTCAAAAGTATCATAGACTAAGAACCATCAGCTTTTAAGGATAATAATAACAACAATATAAACAATATAGAAATATAAACACTAAAAAAATCAAATCACAATACCCAATTTTCCTGTATAGCACAGAGTAGAAGAGTTTTAGTCAACAAATTTTAACATTTAAATATGGAGTTTAATCAGAAAACAGGAAAGTTTCCCTAAGCCCCAAAATAACATATCCTAATATTTCTGGAATTCATAATGTTTTCATAAAAAGTTGCCATCTAGAAATCTACAGAAATATCACAATGATTTGATCATTTAAAAACTTGGTCCAATAGAACAAAGCTCTATTTCTCTAAAGGTTTGACCTTAGGAATGGCTTCAAGTACTCATGGAATGATTTGTTAACAGGCTCACTGTTGAGAGGGCTTTTCTGAGACTCTTCAAACATACGTTCGTAGACCCTGCCATCCCAAGCACCAAGGGGTGAACCAAGAATTTCGTCATGAATGTCGAACGAGTCCACAATGCCCACTGCATTAGGTCGGAGCTTAGCCAGGAGCTGTTCCAGCCACAGTTGCAAACCATCCACATCAGCAGGTGACAAATTTGAGAACTGTAAGATAAGATAAATTTCATGATCAGGATGAGATGAACTGAAATGTGTTTCTAATAGATTATAAAGGATGATGAAACTTACCATCAAAAAGTCACCCTTGTTTATCAGCAGCCAATACAGAGCATAGAGTTCAGCAAGTTGTGTGAGGACTGTTTGAAGTGGGCGAGATACAGAGGACTTTGAAACGGTCTCTACGAACTTTTCAACCATAAAAGCTCGACAATGGGCCTAGGAAAGAGGAATTATTGGATGACTTTGTCCTAAACTTAGTATCCACTAAAATTACGGCACTCACAGTGGAAGCTGCAACTAGTTCAATGGAAGATTCATTCCAAGCATCCTCTGATGACATGCCCCCTTTGGCTCGGCGCTCCATGTGCTCAGCAGCAGACTTGACTTTCCTAAATAATAATGATAATAAAAAATAACTCACAAATTTGTACATTTAGAGATATCCAAGTTAAACTTTGATCGCCCTTACTTACCCGGCAGCTACCTGATAGAATGCCTTCACAACACAATCCATACTGTTTTCCCAAATTGCACGAGGTTGTCGCCAATCAGAATACAGATTCAAGTATGCAACAGAAGGTGTCAGTGTTTGTCCACTTCGGGCTTGTTGCCAAGTCTTCATGAGGTACCTTGGGAAGAAGCAATATTTTTAGTCGAAACCAAACTAAGAAATTGTGACCTTGAACGTAAGTTCTAAACTGACCTTGCAGTCTGCAGAAGCAGGACAGTGTTTTCTCCCTCATAAGTGCAGGCAGCTGTTACCAAGCCATAGGTAGATGGCAGATTGCTGGATTTCATGTACCCGTGACCTCCACAAGCCAACCTAACAGTTTCAACAGCAGATGCAGCATCGCTTGTGCACAGAGCCTTCAGACAGCAAGAAGCTGCATGAAGCTCGGGCAGCCTTTCCAAATCCCCCTGGTCAAGTTCACTGTTGACCACATTGTACATTTCCCAGATCCATTGGGCGGAGAATTTCATTGCAAATACAGAGGCAATAGAAGGCAGAAGCTTGTACTGCTGGGTGCGGTAGTCGAGGACTTGGGGTTCAGGAGCACTGAAGAGGGCAAATGAAGAAAGTAGACAAGAAGAATTTCAAATCGCAAGTCATGAGATCATAATCATCTAATGCATACCCTGGTTTCATTTCCGACTGGTGTCTCACTGCACTGTAGCGAGTAGCAATAGTAACTGCTTTAGAAAGATAGCTGGACATATCTTGGCAAATCACTACCCGCACAAACATCATAGTTCCATAGGTCAGCTTATCACTTGGAGACTTCACGTAAGTTCCATCCTATGCAAAAAATATTAAGAAAATTTAATAGACAAACATTAATTAATTGATGAGGACTACATGGACTGTGCAGTATTTATTTTTCTTCTTTGCTTACCTCTAACACCTTGTTGTTTTTCATCAGCATATTTTCTAATGGTATGCGGACCTGCTTGAAGCCCAGGTATCCATTATTGGTGGTGTTCATACCTAGCTTAGCTCCGATCTCCCCAATGATGATTCCCGGGAGAGGCATGTGGGTTTCTTCATCTCGAAGTTGAACAATGAAAGGATGAATTCCATGGCACTTCCCTTGAGTATACAGTTGAGCCACAACAACTGCATAATTAGCAGTATGTCCCACTGCAAAATAGCATAAGAAAATTAAACTTTGTTCACTCTTTCAAAATTGTGTTGTTAATTTAAGATTTGAAGAAATCACTTACACCCTCCAGGCCACCATTTGTAAGATGTAAGGGTAGGACTGTTCAAAACAAATTCTTGTGTGGCTGGGTCATAAGTGGCTGTTGTTTCTAAGCCTCGAATGAAGGTACCATGACCTAATTCCGTCTAAGGAGGAACATCAAAACACACTATTAATCACAACAGTAGAGATCCTGAATTATTTTTTTAAAATTTTAGTTGTGCAGTGTGGAACTAACCTGAGCATAGGTACCAATTATTTCAAGGTTCCAGGCTCTTGAAATCCAAAAAGCTTGTTGTTCAACTGTGCCCTGTCCAGCAAGTGTGGGCAGGAACATGACATAATGTAAGGCAAGCGGATTACCATCCTTGATAATTGCTGACCCCAGCATGCCACCCAGAAGCTGCCTGAAAAGATCACATTTAACCAATATGTCATCTATTTGACTTCAGGAAAGATTGTACAAAATTATAGAATGCCACAGAAATAAAGACATTATCTGGAAAATTTAAGAAAGACAGTTTCCAGCAATGACACACACAAAAAAAAAAAAAAAAAAAAAACAGTAAAAAGAGTTTATGGAATTTTCAAAAAACTGCATTAAATTTACAGTACAACTTAGCATTAGCTACAACCTTTAACATTGGCACATTTAAGGAAACACAAATACATTCGGGTAATGATCTCTTCCTCTGCTGGTTAAATTGAAAAGGCAGCCACAAGACGAAAAGCAAAGCATTTTCCTTTGTCTTAGTACTTACTTAACTCTCTTTCCCATGGAATCAACAGGTGGATCCCTAAATGCAGAAACAACTTCCCATTAACAGAAAGATATAGCTATGTTAGTGATATGGCATGCGTGAAGTGAAATAAAGTGTGCACCAGATAATAGAGTGATAATAGAATGAATGCATTGTTGTGTGAGGGGGCAGATACAAGGAACTTACATTCACAACTTTGGAACTACAAGCTTGAATAAAATGTACCAAAAGCCAAAATGACAAGAGATACCACACAGATCAAACTTGGGAAAATTTAATATGATAACAGTACTTTGAACAGATGCAGCTAGTAAGTTCATGGTGAACAAAGAGAAAAGCAATAATTTAATTCAACATCAAAAGCTACAAAGTAAGCTATAGTTCCATTTAAACAACAATACACACATGCATGCACAGACCAACAGGTTCCAAAATATGTTATTACAAACACTGAAAAAATTTAGTATAGGTGCAACCAACAAACTTTTTACGGCCCAAATATTGAAGTGTGTGGAGCATATAATACAGGCAGGAGGAGTGCAGTGCAACTGCCTGCGCTAATGAGAAATACCAAAAACAATGTGAAAGAGAACCAACCTAAAATTATCCATACTCCCATGAGGCATCTCTTGAAGCTTTTTGAACATGTGGCAGGCTTTTCGCACAGAATGTTCATATTGCTCCTTGTGACTTAGGTATTCCATAGGCACTTCATCCTTAAATGCGGGGTCAGATAGAAAATAATCCTCTGAAAAAAATGAAAATGGCATTAAATATATATTTGATGCCAGCATTCAGACAGTAGACAGTAGTTTAAACATTTATGAGTGCACTTTGAGCAAGCTTTGCCACTTACCCCTTTCTTTCCTCTCAAGAGTTTTTGCTTCACCTCCATCTAACAGGTGAGTCAATTCCAGGGTGTTGAAAGTGCACTTTTGGCGCTCTCGAACCAAATCAGGGTTCACGGCAACATTTTCCACAACCATTTTTTAGGTGACCTGCCCAAACCTACCAGGACCTAATTCAGACAACTGCCCTGCGCTCCGTCAGTTGGACCCGACCTGCAACACCAGACGCCCAGGACTATTACCACTATTACAGATCCTTGAGCCGACAGAGACAGTAGCGCTAAGCAACTGCGCCGAGGGGTCCAAGTCCAATCTTGCGTCAGGCGTCAGATCCAAAGTTCTCGTAGCGCTTGGCTCTCGAGTAGACGTGACGTGACCTGAGATGACCTTCCGTTAGCGGTCCCATGAGAAACATGCAGATTCATTCCAAAAGATGGAGGTTAGTTTGTCCATGACACAAAAACAAACGCGCTAAATTGAATTTAAAGTACCCAATGGCCAGTGATGCTGAGAGTGACAGTCCACGTGCTGTGCTCAACTATGCCTCAACTTATCACGAAGAATTAGTGAGCATATCTCTCAAGTAGGGCCGACAAAATAGAGGGGAGAAAAATAAGTGTCACAATCTCACAGCTGTTGTAGTGCTACACCACATCTCTAGCAGTAGACGGGGGGGGGGGGGGGCGGAGGCGGAAGTAGATGAGATACATTTTTCATCTTTATCGGCAAACAGCATGGAAAACAAACAAGATGACCACAAACATCATCAAAAAATCGTAGCTTATACCTATGTGCTCTATGGACTCGCATTAAAGGTTTTTCTGGTAAATTTTAACATTTGGACACAAGTTATCGAAAAAGCTAAACAACTATGCTTAGAATTAAGTAAGGATGCTTGCGTTGGTACCATTGCATGTGGCGAAAATACAAACAAACCTGTTTGCGGGTTCCAATTTATTTTAGTCCATATCTGTCTGAATACCCTTGAAGTCACTGTTAAAAAGAAATGGCTTGTTTAAAAGAGAAGCTCTTTAATTCTTTGAGACAGTAAAGAGAAATTTATGTTTCAAATTATTACAAGAAAATAACATTTCCCGACGATCCTTAGCCACCTGCTGGGTGCTGGACAGTATTGATCCAGAATTGATTAAGTATTTTCCGTGCTGCCTTACGTTTTGCCGTGTAGTGACTTCATTTCCTCACAGGTGAGAAGAAAGTAACAGTATGGAATAACAGGTTGCCAGATCCGTTGTTGTTTATGGCCAATATTTTATTCGGAACATTTTTTGTAGGTATTTTTCAGTCCATTGCACGTGAGATAGACCATTTTAATATGAAGAGGTCCTGTCGAGATCCTTATTACATACAGGTTACATTTGAGGTGAGCTGACCCTATTAGAAATCTCCAAACCTATAATTTACATTAAGTTTTTTTAAATAGTTTTTAATTCATTTTAGTATTTGCTTCATATGGGCTTGCTTGACACAGCAACGGTTTTTAAAGAAGAGTGTGAAGTTAAAAAGTATCCCGTACCACACAGTAATTTAACCAAAGATGATCTCAAATGTAAGTTGTTACAATATTTTGATTTGGGAGAAGAGGAGCCTTTCTTCCAGGTAACTATCATTTCTTGATATTGCATATCAAATGTAACAATTCAAAATTTATGTAAAATTCTACTGGTATCTAACTGCACAGGTGTTTGATTCTTCAATTTCGCAACTTCAACAAGGGCGCTCTGCTGAGAGCAAGAAATTAGTTGCCAACCTTTATTTATATTTTGCATCCATGAGGTATGTGAGGGATAAAAATCAGACAAAGAGATCTATATCAGACATTGAGCAAGATGACAGCCAACAGATCCAGATACCAAATTTCCTCCTCCTATCAAAATTTTTAGAAAATGATTGTTTCACTCTAAGGAATGATCCTGAGTTTACTCCATACTTTTCCTTAGCATTTGCATCAAACCCTTTACATCATCATCTATTTGTGCAAACATTCAAGGTAAGTCTGTTCAGATAAGCTAAACTATTTTCTTGCAGATTGAAAAAATACCTTTGTTTTCTCATTTCCCTAGGACTGCTGGATTTCAAATTTGCGGAGATGTTTACAAGAATATTTGTGGATTCATCATCCAGCTTTCAAAGTCCCTGACATTGTTGCATTCATTCCAACAAAAGCCCATAGTGATATTTACTGTTGTGTCCCACATCAAGATTTTACAAGTAGCTGTGAGACTACAGCTGAAGAAAATAATCTGTCGGATGGGAATAATTTTAAAGTAGTAAATGACCATGAACATTTTTCAGAATGTAACGCTCATGAATCAAATTTTATCTCTGAGAATGAAAGTGAAGTACAAGAGACAATGCACAGCCATAAGAACACTGCTCTGTTCATTAGACGTCAAAATCATAAATCTTCCACATCACGCACATCAACCAGTAATATTAATCTGGAGATGGAGGGGTGCCAACAGGACTATGAACAGTTAAAGAAAAAATTTAGTCAGTTACATAGTGACTACCACAACCTTATAGGTATTCAGATCGTCTTAGTCTTACTGCCCAGTTCTGAGGATTCAGTGCTGAGTCTGACTGGATTCTTCTTATGCAGGTGTTGCTTCTGAGTTAACATGTGCATTGGAAAGTTGTGTTCGGGGCCAACAATGTGACTTGAAAGACACATTGAACAACTGTATTCAAATATTCCCTGAACTGTTTCCTCAAAATCAACATAGGAAAAAAATCAGAAACAGAGTAATTAAAAATGAGGTAATTTCTTAGTGTTGGTTATGCTTAAAGTAACAATTTAATTGCTCTATTTCAGGATGGTAATAAGAATATCTCACTGGACTCAAATAGTTGTGAATGGACCTTGCATATAGCGCTCATAAAAAATGGCTTGACAGAGGGCAGTGTGAAGACCCGCCTCCTGCTACTACAAGCTTTGCGTTGGGTACATTTTCTTTCATACCTTTTACTGCTGTCCCTTGTGTATTTATGTTTTAAAATATTTTTTCCCCCAGGCAATAACAAAAAGTTCTAGTGATAAAAGAAAATGCATCATGAATCAGTTTTTAAAATTGGATTTACTTAATTTACAAGGTGAAACACTCCTTGTAAGCTTGCTTACACCATCTGGTGTGGTAACACCACATCCTCTTCAGCAATCTGCAGCACGTCTTTTAAATACATTTGCATCCATTCAATCGGGGCGCAGTTATCTCGCACAAAATTCTGAAATGATAAAAGCCACAACAACTGCACTGAAAGAACAAGACCAGATGTGTACAGATTCAATCACCAAAAATATGCTGGTAGCAGCTCTTCAAAAACTTAGCCTTAGGTAAATTGTGTCTGAATTTGTTTTTTGCACATAACTATGAAGTGCTCTATTTGTACAATTTCTACACTACTCTGTAGGAGGAGTCAGAGGGTTGCCATGATTCAATCAGGTGTTGTTGAATGGATATTTGATCAGCTATCAAAGTCCAAATTTGAATCCTCATACTCCCTTGAATATGGTACTGCTCTTCTCATGAATCTTTGTCTCCATCAATCAGCCAAAGAGCTGTGCATACCAATCGCTCAGACAGTGTTTGGAGTTTGTCAAGCCTTCTTTCCTCATCAATTTTCCAGGTAGTGACTTTGGTTTCCAGGTGTGCGAGTTCCCTCATATGATTCTTTGAATTTTACAACCATTCAACTTATTTCAAATTTTTAGGCTCTACCTTACATTAATGGCACTTTATATAGTCTTATCACTCATCCTCGGTTGAATGAGATTGCAGCAGAGGTTGGACTGCGCAAAGCTCTTGAGGAGAATTTGGCAAAACAGACTAATCTGGATATTAGAAGGCAAATGGAGCATATTCTTCAATATCACCTGTCTTTATTACAAAGTGACTGTGCTAATACTTTCCCCTTACCTGTGAGCGAAGGAGAGCTCATTGATGAGGATGATGTAAGTAGATTAATTTATGTTACATTTGATGATTTTATGTAACTGAGTACCCACAAACACCTTTGATGTAATTCAGGAGGAATTAGACCTTTTGGGAGAGGAACTTGACGAGCAGGACCCTGTTCGTAGTATCAATGGAGAGTTGAATGGGGAAGATCTGTTACGTGCTCACTACAGTCTTCCAACCAATGCCAATGGTACAAACTCTTATTCCACACCACTTCTTGAATACACAAATTTTTGCCTCAAGCAAGACATTGATGCACTGCTTATTGTCAATGCCATTAATAATCAATCAATAATCAAAGTATTTCTTCTCAGGAAATAATGATTATGTACCCACAGCACAAACTGAGGAGGTATCAACATTAATTTTGCGTCCAACAACTCCACATCATTCTAGCCAGTCTGAGTCTGTTGCTGAAACCAGTCATGCTGGCAACTTTGAGGTAAAGAGAATATATTATGTTACAACCTATCAATAGTAAGTAGAATTACCTGTAAGCTTCATTCCTTTTTTAAGGCCACATCAGCCCAAGATATCAGTAAGAAAAATAATTGGCACCTTAGAAGGAGCGGTATGAAACAGCCTCAGCTCTTTAACCGTCAGGATGAAAATCGTCCTTCTCGATCACAAACATTAGCTTTTAAGTCAGAAGTTAATGGGTCGGTCCGCAAAATTGAGCAGCCCGAGCAATGGCAGCAAACATATCCAAATGGAACAAGTGGCAAGCAGCATGCATCAAGTAGGGAGGGCCAGTGGAAAGAGTTGCCTGAAATCTCCATACACTTAGCTTGTACATCAGATAGTACCGATACTGACAATAACTTCAATTGGGATGAAGACTCTGAAGATGTACAAGTGGGTGGAGAGCCAAGCAAGGAACCGTGTTTGCAGACTGCTCGGCAAACTACAGGTAACATAATATGTCTCAGGGTAGCATTTGAGAAAAAAAAAACCTGTCAACCATTTTTACTGAAATTAATAAATGCTTGTTTGCTACTTTTGAAAAAAAAAATTTCAGGTGTACCACATGAGGAAGACATGGAAAAAATCATGTCAACAAAAAAAGGGTAAGATATTTTTTTCCTGTTTCATGCAAAAGGATTTGGAGATTGAGGTCAAACTGCATCAATGCCCCTTTTATGGTTGGCCTTCCCTGTCTCTGTCTGTTCCTCTTCCATGCTGCCGTTACAGCACCAGTTTGCATTTGCATTTTAACAGGACCAGCGATACAGATGCTGCGTTTTCGTCTCGGCCCAAAATCCCCCGCACACCACCTCACCACCATTGAAAAAAAGGACACTGTCACCTATTGAGGTGGTGAGGGTGGGCTGCGTGCACGATGGGTTGCCTATCTGCAGGCGCTCTCATCCAAGAGGCCACAAAACCGTACGACATGGTTTTGTTTCGCCCACAAACTTTTTCTCGCTGTTTTTTTTTTTTTTGAGCTCGCACGATTTATTCTTGCAAAAATAAATTGAAAGAGCGTACCGATATTGATTTATTTTTTGGTCATTCCCCATGGCTTCAACTGGGCCAACAGTTGTCTGCTGTTGCCTTGCTCGAACTCGAGGCGGCAGCCATGAACTTAGATGTTTGTAGAAGAACGCTACTCTTACCGGGGCGGTCTGCGTGACCACCTTAGGGATTTGTTTTTATTCATCACAGAGCGCTCCTAAAACTGGGCTGGCTTCCCAGCCAGAATCATGGCGGATCGAATCGGCGTTGTTTCCAACACCTAGTTCTGGCTCAGTTATCTCGGAGCGCTTAAATCCTTGCGGATTTAAGCTTCATCGTGAACTTTAACAATCCACCCGTCTTGTGCACCATCAGCGCCTGTGAGGTAGTCCACCGAGCCGGCCCACAGGACACCGGTGTGCAGACGGTGGCCTACCTCACCCCTGTGGAGACGCCGGGGCAAGGTAGGCCACCGTCTCTTCACCGGAGTCTTGCGGGGCGGTCGGTGGACTAACTCACAGGCGTTATAGGCCTTTTCTTTCTTGTGGCCTGTGGCCTTTCTTTGGCTGTTTTTCAAAATTTCTGCGCACGCTACTGTCCATTACGAGGCTCTTTCGAATGGTTGAATGGCTCCGTGCTCTTTCTCAGCCCCATCCGCGGCGCGGTAAAATTCGAATCGAAGCCAGCCGCCCGCGCCGCGCGCTGCGCTCGTCTCGTCGCGGTCGCGTCTCGGTGGCAATGGTATGAGCAATGACGCAACGTTTGCTCGGTTTTGCTCGCGGCTGGTGATGCTGGCGGTGCGCGCGGTGCGCGGAGGCAGACGGTGGCCTCCTCCCCCTTCCCGGAAAGGACCCCTCTCTTCCCGGGGTCTTCGGGGCGCTCGGTGGGACTGATTCCAGGGTCGTCCTCTTCGGGCCGTCCTTTCTTTGACGTCTGCGAAACGCGCCGTAGTGCCGATTAGGGGCCCCAAGGGAATGGCCCCGGCTTCCAGCCCCATCCGCGGCGCGTCAACTTCAATCGAGCCACCCCCCGCCCCGCCGCTGCGCCGCACGTCCGGCCGTTCGGTGGAAAGGTATCCCCCGTTTGCTGGGTTTTTGGGCCGGGCGGGTTCGCGTGCTCGACGTCCCGTCGCCTCATCCCCCCAGTCGTTTTGTCCCGAGCTCATGCGGAGAGAGGGTGTCCTGTGCCGTCTGTGTCGCACGTCTGGGGAGCGCCCCGTGAGTGCGGCCAACAGGGAACAAACGCCACACCGCCGCCGGCAGCCTCCACTTGAGATAACGGCCACAGCGCCCCGCCCTTTGGACGCCCTCCAGCCGTTCTCCTCCCGGTGGGGGTTTCCGGGCCGCCTCCGCCCCGCCCAAAGTGCGTGTGTGGGAGAGAAGAGCTAGATTCGTTGTACGTAATTTGACCAATTTTTCCACATTCGTGAGGCGAAAACGCCGAAGGTAGGCACCACTGTGGAAAAACGCCAGAATCTGCCTCTTCGGACGTCCTCACTCAGTCTCCTACACAAAAGTTTCGTTGGCACCCCTCGCGAAAGGAGGGAGCGCTCCTCCCGCCTCCTGGCCCGGAGAGCTCCCCGCAGGAGCACGCACGTTTACAACCATGCCAAGTATTTTGAGCATATGTGAGGTACAAAGTGTTTGGTGGTTTCTAAGCCGAAGTTACAGTTTGTAAAGTACGAAGCATTTTCTTTGCATGCTTATGCATACTCAAATTACTTGGTTATAGCAAGCTACTTTTATTTGAAAGGCCTAAAATAGTTCGCAAGGTTTCCAAAGTGCGACTAAAACAGTGTCCGGGTTTTCAAGGCTCACGCTCGCCCTGGAAAAGAGGTCATTTTTCCAGGATGGGCGTGGGGAAAACCACACCACTGTTTCCGCTGAGAGGCAAAGAATTAGCGCGGACTGCAGCCGAAACTGCTTCCCTGTTTTGAGATCGATTTGACATTGGCACGTTCATTGTCCCCTCCATTCGAAAAGCCAAATAACCTGGGGAGGTATAGCAATAAAACGATAAAACAATTATTTGAGCCGGGGGCCGCCATGACGTGATGACGCTTTTTTTGCCCTTGTTGTGGAGCTCAAGGTTAAAAACAACTTTCTGCTGTGGTTTTCGTGGCCGTAGTCCTGGGAAGTCGAGACGAGCGGTTTGAAGGAATTTTTGGAGCGAGTTGCGCTTAAAACTCTCTTTCTCCTATTCAGTAATATTTACACGCTAATCATATAATCCTCTTATCTTCATTGTAACATTTAGTATTTATACTAATATTTGTCCACTACTCTCATAACTAGTATGCAAGTGCGGTCACCGCAGCGGTGAAAAGTACCCCCTCGTTGTTCGCGTCGACCCGTGCGTTTTTCACCATGCACCAAGAGACGCGTGCATTTCTAAATTGCCGTTGTATTCTGGTCGTCGCCTCACCCGCAAAGGTCAGTTCGACTCGGCCAATATGCCGCACTAATGGGAATAAGAGAGGCTCCTTTATAATACAAGCGGAGCGGGGTGGTTCGGGAGAGCTGCTCCCAAGGGGGCGGCACGGAGTGATTAGATGATTAGATACTGCACGACACTACCGTGCAAGACACAGGACGAGTGGAGGAAGGCGAATACATGTGCGCGCGCGCGCGTGTGTGTGTGTGTGTGCCCCCCCCCCCTTCTGACTGTGCGCGCACGTGCGTAATCGGTCATGAGTCGAGGGAAGTACCGGAGCCAGCGTCCTGCCTCCCCTGCGAGACTGCGAGGTCACTTTCGAAATAACAATATTGCTGTGAAGCGCGGCGCCGCCGCCGCACTGCCGCGGATGCGACAGCGCCTTCCGTTTTTCTGAGCAGGAAGACCACGCTGCTGTCGCTCTGTCTCTCTCGCACTCGCAGAGCGTTCCGTGCAGGTGTGAGCGAGACAGAGCGATGAAACCGGCTCTCGGCGTCAGTCTGCAGCAGACACACTGCAAGGCCGAGCGTTGCCTTTGAACGACGGTTAACTTACTATCTCAGCCAAACAGACTGATTCCGAGAGTCGTTTTCATCGCTCTGTCTCTCTCGCACTGATGGGGCGTCCCGTCTTGGTGCGAGAGAGACGGAGCGACGGGAACGACTCTCAGTCTGCGTGTGGCATGCAAGTCGTCGAGTGGCTGCTTGATTTGAAGCTGCGATCAGAAGGACATCAATTTGTTTTACACGCCGCGTGCGACGGAAGAGCGGCGGGGGAAGGAAGAAAGGGGCGGGGGGAGGGTGTCTCGTGATTGGAGTGCGCGCGTGTGCACTCGCGAGTAAGTGAGGTGTGAAAACAAGAGCCAGCCGGGGACACTCACTCAGGACCTCGCTGGCCGAAAATTGGCGGCTGCAAACTACCCGCGGCGGCTGCGGCTCACCTTGGCCAGTGTTGCCACATAAATGGGCGAAAATTTCCATGATTCCATGATGCACCAATGTCGGTTGGAGGGTTTACCAACCTGCAGCCTGCCTACATACTAGGCAATGCGCTTTTGCTCTCCGAGAAGTAGCCCAGTGGGCAGGCTGAGGTTGGTAACCCTTTCGACACTAATGGCTCGCGGTAATTTTCGCCCCCTCAAGTGGCAGCACTGACCTTGACCATGCCCCACCCTGGCCTCATGGCCCTCGCGTGGAGTGTGTCACCCCCCCCCCCCCTTTTCCAGCCAGGCCCGCCGAGTTCAAATAATGCAACAGCATTTTGTAAGAGGGGGGCGTGGCAGGCACACTGCGAACACTGCGCCCAGGCAAGACATGCTCCCGACGAGGTGAATTCAATTTCCCTGCCTCTGGCTTGGCCTCTGGCTGGGGTCGATGAGACGGCTGATCCTGCCGAAAAGAGAGAGATCGAAGAGCAGATACACGATGACACATGAAGCGCAACAAGCGGCGCGACTCAGCAGCGGGCTCACGCTCCGGACAGCGTGTTGTTGTCGCTCCGTCTCTGTCGCACCTCCACTGGATGCCCTGAGAGTGCGAGAAGGACGGCACACTGTTTGGAATCAGCCAGCGGAGGGGCGTGTGTCACGCTAGCGTGCGCTAGCGCCGACGGTGTGGCGTGCGCTGTGGCGGCTCGCTGTTCAGTTCGGGAAGTGCGTCATCACCGGAACGCCATGCTGCTGACTGATTCCGGGGATCTCTTTCGCCGCTCTGTCTCTCTCGCACCTATTCGGGACGCCCCATGAGTGCGAGAGTGACAGAGCGACGGAAACGACTCTCGGAATCAGTCTTCCTGGCGTCTCGGCTTGCCGCCGCCGATATCACCGGCGCCACCCCACTGGGGACCACGTCGTGAACCCGCTGCCCCGCCACTCGCGCAGCCGGAGGATGACCGGGCACAATCGCCGCCGACGCCAAAACAGCACGCTCTGTCTCTGTCGCGCTCTTGGGGCGTCCCGCCGGGGTGCGAGAGAGACAGAGCGAGGGAACGCCTCTTCGCGGGCTTCCACATTGTTGATGCCAATTTGGGGCCCTAGTAGTGCACGGCGTCCTGGAGGGGGACAAAACACAGACTCGACGCGACACTGCCTTCCGTTCCGAGTCAGTCCGACTGCCATCGCATGTCGACGGCACGGCGGCACGACGGCGTCCTTGGCCGGACGACAGCACAGCGGCGTGCCGGCCGTCCATGGTCCCGGCCGATGCCACCCTATGACGTCACGCCGGGAGCGTCGCCTCCCCTGCCGCCTGCAAGTCGGGCACTTTGCGCCTGAAAGTAGGCAACTGTCTCGTCTCTGGGAACCACCCTCGCGGCATGCATATGCATGCTGCAGGACGGAGGTCCTGGCTCAACCCATTCCGGCCGAGGCGAGGTACAGTGGGCCAGAGGACCAGTGGAGGCGGCTGAAATCCCGGACGCGTTTTGAGGAGCTCCAGAGTCGCTAAACAGGCCTCGAGCCGAGCGTGTGACCCCACCAATGGATTCCTCGTTCGGAGAGCAATCCATTGGTGGGGTCACACGTTCAGTTCGAGTCCATTTAGGACTCTGGAGCTCAAAACGCGGCTAGAATTTTGGCCGTCTCCACGCGGTCCTCTGGCCCACTGTGCGAGGGCGCCAAAGCCAGCCAAAGGTGTGTTGGTTCGGCTGTCCGGTTCGGCCGCGCTCCGACATGACCATGAGTCCGAGCGGCCGGCTTCGTTTCGGCCTTTCGGCGGCTGGCCGCCCGCTCGCTGCCGGATCGGTTCCTATGCTGCGCCGTCGTCCGGGAGACGCGTCGCCCGTACTTCGATTAGCCCCCGACTGGGTTAAGTTACCCAGGGGATCATAATTTACTAGTGAATTCGTACTTCCCCACCAGAAAAACGAGTGTGAAGATGAAAAAAAAATCCACAAGCAATTCGAGAAAGCAAGTCATAACAAAATGAGTCAAAAAAATTCTTAACACAGAAAACAACTTGATTCACGAATTTAATGTTTTCAGCACCATAGGTCATTTTTTCTTATTTTAAACTTTGCGAAATAAACGATGAGTTAGTCAGGTAGGTAGACGAATGCCCAAAACTCAGGAATGGGCGCCCGCTTTGGCTTATCCTTGGATTATGTAAAAATCCAATTTATTTTTTTTAATTTGATTTTTCTGAAATTGCGTGTGGAACGTGTCTTTCAACACCTTAATGCTCGTTTTCTGGTGAGGGAGTACAAATGCCCTAGTAATATTAACCCATTTTACCCTAGTGGCCATGTACCCTCTCAGGAGAGAGGGTAGAAATTATAGTGTATAATTACCCCCTGTGATAGGTACTTTTTTCCTAGGGAATTTTTACCCCCTCCAGAGAGAGGTATTTTTCCACTAGTGGATTATTCCCCCCCCTAGGGGGTAAAGTTACCCTAGGAAATATTACCCCCCACCCTGCATGAGTATGATATCCCTAGGGAATTATTACCCTCCCCTAGGGCAAGGTACTTTCCTCCTAGTGAAATAGTACCCTAGGTAAGGGGGTAAAGATACACGCTTACACCGGACGACAGCACAGCGGCGTGCCGGCCGTCTATGGTCCCGGCCGATGCCACCCTATGACGTCACGCCGGGAGCGTCGCCTCCCCTGCCGCCTGCAAGTCGGGCACTTTGCGCCTGAAAGTAGGCAACTGTCTCGTCTCTGGGAACCACCCTCGCGGCATGCATATGCATGCTGCAGGCCGGAGGTCCTGGCTCAACCCATTCCGGCCGAGGCGAGGTACAGTGGGCCAGAGGACCAGTGGAGGCGGCTGAAATCCCGGACGCGTTTTGAGGAGCTCCAGAGTCGCTAAACAGGCCTCGAGCCGAGCGTGTGACCCCACCAATGGATTCCTCGTTCGGAGAGCAATCCATTGGTGGGGTCACACGTTCAGTTCGAGTCTCATTTAGGGACTCTGGAGCTCAAAACGCGGCTAGAATTTTGGCCGTCTCCACGCGGTCCTCTGGCCCACTGTGCGAGGGCGCCAAAGCCAGCCAAAGGTGTGTTGGTTCGGCTGTCCGGTTCGGCCGCGCTCCGACATGAGCCATGAGTCCGAGCGGCCGGCTTCGGTTTCGGCCTTTCGGCCCGGCCTGGCCGTCCGCTCGCTGCCGGATCGGTTGCCTATGCTGCAGGCGCGTCCAGTCGCGGTCGAGACGCGTCGCCCGGCGTATCTTCGATTCTACAGTGCCGCCGCCGCCGACACTGGCTGCGTTATGGGCTGTGCGTGCGCCGGGGGCATGGGTGAGAGGAGTGGCTCGTGACGCTCGTGTCACATCACGGCGCTTTCGTCGCTCTGTCTCTCTCGCGGGCCGTCCCGTGGGGACGTGAGAGAGAGACAGAGAGAGAGAGAGAGAGAGAGAGAGAGAGAGAGAGAGAGAGAAAGCGCACTGGATGGGAAAGGCGGCAGGCATTACCCCACGCTGTTTGCCCGTGTATGCTCCTGCGCACTGACTGCATTCGGCGTTTCGTCGCCCTGTCTTTCTCGCACCATACGGAACCCCCAAAGAGTGCGAGAGAGACAGAGCAACGAAAGCGGTGCCCGGAATGGCCCTGCTGTCGCGATGACACAGCTGGACGGGGGCTGCAGACACGGGGAAACGGAAAACAGATTGAGGGAGGAGTTTCCCTGTCGCCTGACGGCTCGTCGCCCTCGCGGCTTGCATCGTCCGCGCTAATCCTTTGTCCTGCTCTCTCAAGATGCAGATTAGATTGGCCTCGGCCGGCAATCGCCAGAGGCAATCGCCAGAGGCAATCACCAGAGGCTAGCCGTGTAATGCAGGTCAAGTCGTTGTCACCTATAGGTTTTCGGGATCAATTGTGGTTGTGGAGCGAACTTGCACTCGAAGTCCAGGGCGGATCCAGAGACGGACGGATCACAGCGGGTCACAGTGGGCCAGAAGACCTGTGGAGGCGGCCACAACTCTAGATGCGTTTTGAGCTCCAGAGTCGCTGCTAAGCATGCCTGGAACTGAACGTGTGACACTACCAATGGATGCCTCGTCTGAAGAGCAATCCATTGGTGGGGTCACACGTTCGGTTCGAGTTCCATTTAGCAACTCTGGAGCTCAAAACGCGTCTAGAGTTTTGGCCGCCTCCACCGGTCTTCTGGCCCACTGTGCGGGCTCAGCCGCACGTGGCCGCAGTCCCGTCGGCGAAGAAGTTCGATGGGCGGCCACCCCGAACGAGTGCGCCCTCGACGCCGCCAGGCCCAGACAGCAGCCAGGCCGCCGTCGCTGCGCCCTGCCCGGCAAAGGCACAGATTGGCTTGTTTGGCTGCGGGTCCGGGTGCAGTTCGAGAATCCAGCTTCCAGTCACCGGATTCCTTGTCGGACCGTGCGGCGCAGTGCGACGCAGTGCGGCGTTCGGACTAGCAGGGACTAGCCACCACTTCCAGGCCGACAGTGACGTGACGGTGCAGCGGCTCGGCCAAAAGAGCGGCCATTGATTCGAACCCGTCATTGTTTACTCCGCGAGCGAGCGCGTGTTCTACTGTAGCCGAAGATGTGGGATAACCTGATAACAATTAGTGCGTCCCGAAAATGGGTGAAGGGACGGATGCACCACGCCCGTCGCATCCACGCGCGCCTCGCGAGGAACTGTGGTAGGAACGATGCATCAAGCTGCCAAGATCGGTTTGTCGCTCTGTCTCTCTCGCACCCTTTTACGGAGAGCCCCATGAGTGCGAGAGAGACAGAGCGACGAAACTACTCTTCTGAATCGCTCGGCTGTTGAGTAGTAATTGTCACTGTTTTTCCACGAATGTTGTGACGTCACGGTCGTTTGGGAGCTCCACGGTCTAAAGAATGGGCATACTCTGTAATTAGATGGGCGTGTTGCCTTCAAACGAACGCGGCACGAACGTGACGTCACATTCATTTGGTGCTTCCAAATAGAGCTTCACTCAAAATTCGGCAATGCGGCGTACAAATTTGTGCAAACATGATTATTTTTTCCCTTTGTGAAAGGACAAAATTGGTTCCGCAATATGGTTGCACAAAATTCCTTAAATAGTGTGTCAGTTTCTTTTTTTCGGATTGCTTTTGAGAGTGTTCACACTAAATGCGGTTTTTAGTGCACGACTTTTCACGAAATTGAGCCTATGTTTTGAAATGCGCGGATTCGTGCGTAGCTAAGAATGAAAAATGTGCATTGCTCTGCAGCACTTCGCCTGTTGTTGCGCACAAATTCGAGCATCTCACTGGTATGCTCACTGGTATGCACGAACAGTGGCGGATCCAGAGTCGGCCCAAGGGGGGGGGGCAAAGTCGCACCTTTTGCCTACTTACAGGGGCAAAGTAGCACTTTTTGCCTACCTTTCAGGCGGCTATCTAGGGGCTATGGGGGGCAAAACCCCATTGCCACCCCCCCCCCCATCCCCACCCCCTGTATCCGCGCCTGTGCACGAACAACCGAAAATTGGAAATAATTTCGAGTGTTTTGCACCCTGAGTGAGTACTGACCCTGGTACTGGTTGTCCTTCCGCAGAAATGCCGCAAGCGGAGGCTCCCCTGGCCTCGCCAGCCTCGCCAGCCTCGCCAGCCTCGCCCACGGCCAACGGCGGGGCGGACGGCAAGGGCCGCGGGGACGCGGACAACGGCCACAGCGTGGACAGCGGCCTGGACAGCGGCCCCGACAGTGCGCTGGACACGAGCGACACGAGCGACTCCGGCGGCGGCCCTCCCGCCCCGACCGTCAAGGCCGGCACGTCGGACTGGATCGACGCCACCCTGGTGGCCGAGGCCGTCGGCGCCAAGGCCTGGGAGGTGCGCGACGTGGCCGTCAAGGCGGCCGTGGCGGACGGCGACAACTACTGCTCGTGCATGTGGCGGGTGCGCGCCAAGGCCGGCGACAGGGACGTCAGCCTCATCGTCAAGGCGCCGCCGCGCGGCGAGATGATGCAGGACTTCGTCGGCAAGCTGGGGCTCTTCACCAGGGAGGCCAACATGCTGACGGTGAGGCGCCACGCCATCCACACTGTAGACTCCGAGCCGCAGTCGAAAGAGGCGGTCAAAATCCCGGACACGTTTTGAGCTCCAGAGTCGCTAAATGGTACTCGAACCTAACGCGCGACCCTACCAATGGAGCTCTCCGAACGAGGAATTCACTGGTGGGGTCACACGTTCGGTTCGAGTCCTGATAGCGACTCTGGGGCTCAAAACGCGACTCGAGTTTCGGCCGCCTCCACCGGTCTTCTGGCCCACTGTGCGAGCACTGCTTTCGTCGCTGTCTCTCTCGCACCCCCTAGGGGACCCTCCATGAGTGCGAGCGAGACAGGGCGACGAGCGCAGTGCTCGGAATGAGTCTGCTGCGTGCGTGCTTGGTTGGGATTTGCAGCCAAGTCCTTGGCGGAACTACGCGACGCGTGGCAAAGGTCGTGCCCTTGAACGCCTTCCGGCAGTGTAGGGGTCGTCCTTCCTCTTCGATTGGGGGGACGGACGTGAACAGGTGGGCGGGGTGGCCACCCTATCCGCCCTCCGAAAGAAAAACACAACTCAGACAGCAGACCGCGGCGCGGTACGGCGCGCGTGCGAAAACTTGATGAATTTTTGACACTTGTGCGGCTTCTTCCGCCTCCGAGTGTCCTCCAGTGTCCTTGCTTCCGGCCGAGCGAGTCTAGCCGCTCTAGCCGCCCTCGCGGCCGCGAGGCGTGTTCTGTTCGCCTTCCGACTGCATTATTGAGGCCCAATTCCAACTCCCTATTGATCGGATCGTTTTCGAGAAACCGGCAATCAGACGGATGCGTCAACAGCCAGGAAAACAAGCCTTCCATCTTTTTGGCCCGTCCCGTTTATTTTTTGTAAAAAAATGACGGAGGGACGGGCATATAGTATGATGCATGCTGTGCGTCCGTTCGTTCGTTCGTTCGTCCGTTCGTTCGTCCGAGGACTTCCCGTGGTCCGATCTTGACCAAATTTGGTATGCAGCCTCCTTGGGTGACCCTAAGAACCGCCCGGTGGCAGCAAATCCGATCCGAGCCCCGGGGGCGCTGCTGCAGGTGCATCATGGTCTACATGGGGTCAAGGAGGATTTCGGCAACGGATACAGCTAGGAGGGCATGTAGGGGTATTTTTGGAATCGGGGCGACGAGACAAAACCAACGGTGCCAGTTTCAAGCGAATCGGAGAAGTTTGGACCCGGGTTCAAATCCCAGTGGGGTATATTTTGAACATTCTTTTTATTCGAGTTTTTGCATTGTTTCTAATGTTTTTGAGGGCGCTGATGACGAAAACAACATCTATTTTGACCCCAGACTCAGGTTCAAACCCGTCAGGGTTGAACAAATGCGAAATTCGCACATTCGTTAATGTACGGGACGGGCCAAAGTTGCCGATGTATATCGCTACTTTTCCTGTTATTTCTCGAGGAAGTAAGCACTCCGCACTCACCCAAAAGTCGGGCCAAAATTTTCTGTATTCAGGCCGTAAACTTAACTATGTATTGCATGTGTTTAGCGAAACGGGGCGTAATGGAACGAAACTGGTGATTTTTCGGGACACAGCTTTGCCACCCCTTCGTTCGCGTTCGTTCTTTTCCCTTGCCGTGACGTACGTGTACGTTGGGTGGCCCGGTGGCTCAGGCCCAGGCTGAGGCTAGGCCGGGCGTCGGATGGGTTGCCTACACTGCAGGCGTGGCGCAGACCCAACCTACTTGGAGTGCCTTGTGTGGACTCGGTAAACGCGGACCGTTTGAATTCTTTCAGTGCAAAGGACCATAGCGAACTGAACCCGTCTGTGCTGCAGGAGACGCTGCCCGCCATGAAGGCCCTCGCGGTGGCGCGGTGCGGCGCGGACCACGTCCTGGCCCGGCCGCTGGGGCCGCGCGCGCTGCCCTGCTCCGTGCCCGACGTCCTGGTCATGGAGGACCTGTCCGTGCACGGCTTCAGGAACAAGGAGCGCCAGGGGCAGCTCGACATGGAGCACTGCAAGGTGGGTGGGGAGACATTCCCCGAACCACACAGGGCCCGAAGGCCGGCGCCCAAAATACTGGACGTGTTTTGAGCCCCCGAGTCGCTAAATGGGACTCGAACCGAGCTGACCCCACCAATGGATTCCTCGTTCAGAGAGCAATCCATTGCTGGGGTCACACGTTCGGTTCGAGTCCCATTTAATGACTGCAGCTCAAAACTCGTCCGGGATTTTGACCGCCAGCGGTCTTCTGGCCTACTGTGCGAGCGGCGCCGTATCCACTGGGAGACATTGGCGTTTCTGGTGCATTGTAGGTGGCGCTGGAGGTGCTGGCGCGGTACCACGCGCTGTCCGTGGCGCTGCACCGCCAGGACCCCTCCTGCATGGACAAGTACGCCGAGAGCCTGTACGTGCTGAGCGGCGTCCCCGAGGACATGGAAAACGCGCGCCTGCACACGGAACACCAGCTCAGGAAGTTCGCCGACCAGGTGGAGACCTGGGAAAAGGTACGGTACAGTCCGCTTGCAATTGAGTTTAGTCGATATTTTCCTGCGCCGCTGTAAAATGGCGGTTCGATTATTGGGGCGGAGGGCCTTGTCACACATTTTGGCTGAGGCCTGCTTTCAGGGTGGCACTGCCCCTGCCTCCCCCCGAGCCTGGAGCCGCCGACCAGTGGGCCAGAAGATGGTGGAGGCGGTCAAAGATCCTGGTCGGGTTCTGAGCTCTAGAGTCGCTAAATGGGACTCGAAGCGAACGTGTGACCCCACCAATGGATTCCTCGTCGCTATCCATTAGTGGGGTCACACGTTCGTTTCGTGTCCTGTGTAGCGACTCTGGAGCTCAAAACGCGCCTTGTTTTGGCAGCCTCCACCGGTTTTCTGGCCCACTGTGAGCCGATGCCCCGCCGTAGGCCGTTACTGATCTCGCGGTTGACTGTCCTGGCAGACGAAGGGCAAGGGCCTGGGCGAGAAGATGAAGGGCTTGGCCCAGCACCTCCACCGCGACATGTGCGAGCTCGTGGCGCCCTCCAAGAACGGCATCAACGTGCTGAACCACGGCGACTACTGGATCAACAACATGATGTTCCGGTACGAGGGCAAGGAGACCGTCAACCCGCAGGACATCCGCCTCGTGGACCTGCAGCTCGTGCGCTTCTCCTCGCCCGCCCTCGACCTGCAGTACTTCGTGACGACCAGCGCCCAGGAGGAGGTGGGTGCCTGCGTGCCTGCGTGGTGCAGCAGTTGTTTTGGGTGGTGGTGCTCCTCATGGAGACTTTGACGCGCTTGGTGGGGTCAGTTGGGGAGGAAAAGTACGAAGTAAGAAAAGCTACTCGCACACTTCTTCTCCCTCAAGCCCCAAGCCACTTCTGGATCCACCCCTGCAAACTCGCCCCCACACAGTGGGCCAGAAGACCGGTGGAGGCGGCCAAAATTCGAGACGCGTTTTGAGCGCCAGAGTCTCTAAATAGGACTCGAACCGAGCGTGTGACCCCATCAATGGATTGCTCTTCGAAGGAGCAATCCATTGGTGGGGTCACACGTTCGATTCGAGTCCTGTTTGGCGACTCTGGAGCTCAAAACGCGTCTGAAGTTTTGGCCACCTCCACCAGTCTTCTGGCCCACTGTGCCCCACTCACCTGTTTGCCCCTCTCTCGCTCCTCCAGGTCCGCGAGCACGAGTTGGACGCGCTGCTGCGCCACTACTACCACCACTTCAACGAGTACGTGACGATGCTGGGCGAGGGCGACTCGTGCTGGCCGACGTTCGACGCGCTGCGCGAGGAGTTCCTCTCCAAGGCGCTGTTCGGCTTCAACGCGGCCTACGTCATCCTGTGCGCCGTGGTGGCCAACCCGGAGGACCGGCTGCAGCTGGACAACATGACCAAGGAGAACATGGCGGAGGCCGACTTCAGCACGCGGGCGTGGCGCGGCGCCGTGTACCAGCGCCTCATCCCCAGGGTGCTGGAGTACTTCGACGAGCTCGGCGTCTTCGACTAGTCTTCGTTTAGTCTAGGCCGTGGCGCGCCACCGTCGCCGGGGGTTTGTTAGCGTTGTAGACGACGTTTTCACACTAGTGTCTGAGGGCACCTTTTGATACCACAACTGGAAGCAATGCTGAGCGTCACCAAAGCTCGCGACAAAATTGTGACCAGCTCGTGACGAGTTCAGCTTGTGAATTCACAAGCTGGTGACAGATTGATCAGGTAACAAAAATTGTTCGCAGACATTTGTAGTGTGTCTGGACCCGAAAACGCAGGATGTCTTTGAAGCGAAGCTTTCGGTCGTCGAGGGTGTGTATTTTTAAAGTGGCACGTCACCGCGCTGCCCCGGCGAGTAAGTCGGCCGCAAATTGGAGCGCCGAGGTGACAGACCGCCGAGATAAGATGAGGCTGGGGGACCGGGAACCTGACCCGGCCGCCAAACCCGGCGTCGTCCCCGGCCTGTCCGCTGGCCGCCGCGGCATCTCAAAATGATCGCCATCGATCGACTCAGTTGGGGCTCGCCGATGCACAGTGGGCCAGAAGACCGGCGGAGGCGGACAAAATTCTAGACGCGTTTTGAGCTCTAGAGTCGCTAAATAGGACTCGAACTGAACGTGTGACCCCACCACTGAATTGCTCTCCACGCGAGGAATCCATTGGTGGGGTCACACGTTCAGTTCGAGTCCCATTTAGCAACTGTGGAGCTCAAAACGCGTCTGGAGTCTTGGCCGGCTCCACCGGTCTTCTGACCCACTGTGCGTTGTTGGTGCGGCGCGTGGTGGCCGCCAGTACGGCCCACCGAGAGGCCCACTTAGCTCGAGGACTGTACAGTGTACGCACCTCGACCCCCAAAATTTCAACTGCTACTTTTTTTGCGAGCTGGTCGATTGTATCGCCCGACATTGATAAGACGGAATCACGCCGTTCGGACGCGTGCACCTTTTTTTACGTGCGAGATAGGTTCACAGTGTATACCGGACCTTAAAACCGGAGGCACTGAAGGAAATGAAAGGAGATGTGTGTTTCGTTTTGCAAAAATGACATGGAGTAATTATGTAATTTTTATGGCTATGGCTGTGTGTGAGGAAGGTTTTTCTATTTGTTAAGTCCTTCTGGCGGGACCAAGACATTTCTAGTAAAACGTGAAACGCTGTTTCGGCCAAACGTTTTATTTTATGCTTTATTTTTCACGCTTTTAGATAAGATTTTGTTCACTTTGCCTATGAGATAGGAATGAAATGTATATTTAACTACTATTTTTAATAATCATATGAAGGTACGAGTCATGTGATAGGTGCCCTCATTTACCCTGTTCCTATGAATGTCAGAGGGAGCCAGAATTAGTATTTAATACTGTTTGATTGTATGAGTACAAAGATGTGTGCTTGCTTAGTTCTAGAGTGCGTTGTCAACGCCATTCATATGATACGTTTTGTGATAGTAAAAACCTAGAAAAATGTATTTTTAAACCAAGTTCAGCACAGCATTTAAATTTTCTTGTAATTGTAATTTTGACATTGTTGACTATTTCAATGAATGAATTGTGCGTCATTTTCAAAGTAACACCACTCTAGTTTCTTTTCCCGTATCCCGATCAATCGCTATCTATTCACAGTAAGCCACAATCGCCAAAAAAATCCTTTTTTTTTTTCGCTTCCTTTGTAAATTGTGTGTGATGGTTGATGGCTGTTGGGCCTCAAGTGGCAGGCGGGCAGTGCCGTGCCGGCCGCGCCTCAGCGTGGCGTGTCTTGGGCGTCCCTTGGACGTCCCTCGGACGCGTCTTGGACGTGCCACCCCAGTTTGACGCCGCCCTGTCGGCCTGTCCCTGTCGGGCGTTGGAAATTTGGACGCGAGTCAAACACGCCCGCCGCGGCGCGAAGCGCGAAGGGACGCTGCACAGTGGGCCAGAAACCGGCGGAAGCGGCCAAAATTCGAGACGCGTTTTGAGCTTCAGAGTCGCTAAATGGGACTAGAACCGACCGTGTGACTCCACCAATGGATTGCTCTCAGGACGAGGAATCCATTGGTGGGATCACACGTTCGGTTCGAGTCCTGCTGAGTGACTCTGGAGCTCAAAACGCGTCTCGAATTTTGGCCGCCTCCGCCAGTTTCTGGCCCACTGTGCGCTGCACGCGCTGCAGTGCAGGGCCGGGCCTAGTCGGAGCCAGCGGACTGTTTTAGAGGGGCGCTTTCGTCGCTCTGTCTCCCTCGCACTCACGGGGCGTCCCGCAGGGGCGCGAGAGAGACAGACAAGCAGGGGGCTGTTCGGAACCGCTCAGCTGGCCCCACCCGGCCCCGGCCGGCCCCGCCACGGGTAACTGATCGTGACGCGTGTGCCAAGTGAAACAGAATGGCCACGGTTGGAATACCAGACGAGCCGTAAAAGTGTCACACTGTCACAGTGACCGGAAGCGGCAAATGGACCGCGGCGTGTCGCCGTGCCTTGCAGCGTACAGTGGGCCAGAGGACCGTGGAGGCAGCCAAAATTCTAGACCCGTTTTGAGTTCCAGAGTCTCTAAATGGGTCTCGAACCGAACGTGCGACCCCTGACTCTCCGAACGAGGCGGTCAGGCCGCGGAAGAGGCGCCTCTCTCGGGCCGCGGAGTAACAAGCGCCAACAGCTGCCGCTTGGGTGGCCTACCCGCAAGGCGCGCTGCGCTCTGCAGACTGTTTCCGAGAGTCGGTTTCGTCGCTCAGTCTCTCTCACCCCTGCACGAGACGCCACATGAGCGTCGATACCCGGCGGCTGTGTCAGTTGGCGAGGGATACCCCGCGCCGCTCGAAAGACTTGCCGCTTCTAAACATATCGATCAGGCTGCAGCCTCGCGTGGCGACTCGCGTGGCGAGGCCCTTCGTGTCGGGAGTATCGACGCCACAGCAGCCACCAGCAGACCGACAGACCCTTTCACCCTTCGCCGACTGAAGAACAAAAGCAAACAAAAATCCGCAGGAACTTGTTGCAGCGCGCTGCGGCGCCGGCGTCACACGCTCGGTTCGAGTCTCGTTCAGCGACTCTGGAGCTAAAACCGCGTCGGGAGTTTTGTCCGCCGGCGCCTGTCTTCTGGCCCTCTATGCGGGCGGGGCGGGGCTTGGCTAGCGAATGCAAAGTGATTCAAGATGTGCCACTACTTTGTGTCGACGGCGTGCGGTAGGCGCGGCACTGCACTGGCAAGCGGCCAGCTTCCCAGCGCGCGCACGGCGCACGCCCAAGGTGGCCTCGTCGTGGCGGTCGCCCGCCCCGAGCCGCCCCCAGCCCACAGTGGGCCAGAAACCGGCGGAGGCGACCAAAATTCGAGACGCGTTTCGAGCTCCAGAGTCGCTAAACAGGACTCGAACCGAACGTGTGACCCCACCAATGGATTCCTCGTCCTGAGAGCAATCCATTGGTGGGGTCACACGGTTGGTTCGAGTCCCATTTAGCGACTCTGGAGCTCAAAACGCGTCTCGAATTTTGGCCGCCTCCGCCGGTTTCTGGCCCACTGTGCAGCCGCCCCTAGGCCCTGGGTCATGTCCTTCGCCACGCGCAGGATGCGGTGCGGTCTCTCTCTCTCTCTCTCTCTCTCTCTCTCTCTCTCTCTCTCTCTCTCTCTCTCTCTCTCTCTCCCTCCCTCTCTCCCCTTCCCATGGTGTACATGTCACAGGTGTGTGATCTCTGACATGATGCCAGAAAAGTTTCAATTCCCAGCCTCCTGGCCCCCACCCCCTTTTTTTTCTGCTCCCCTCCCGCCCCTTCCTGTGTGTGGCTTGTCCTTTTCATTCATCGTCAGTTTCACATTCCTTGGCACAGGGACTGCCGTTGGGGTAAATTAAAAAGAACACGACAAGGATTTCTCGTGAAATGTTGTTATATTTTTATAACATTCGATGAGGATATGAAACACAAACACTTTGTTTAGCTTAGGAGTCAGTCGACTTCAAACACATACATAAATAAGAAACTTAATCAAAAAAATGAGAGTTCAGCGATCACAGCAACACACTTAAAATAAAAAAAATACTGGTAAATCTCACAGGAATGGTATTGAAACACTTTCATACGCAAAACTGTCCCGTGAATACAATCCTAAAACTAACAAGAAGAAAAATACACCCTTTCTTCATCTCTCGGGTCGATTCTATACGTAATTAATTTGAACAAAAAGTTGCTCAGGGCGGGCGGGCGTTATTCAACACTCCACTCGCGTGTTCCGCGAAATGTGGACGCCTGGCCGGACTGGCTGCTAGCAGTGCAGGGCCGCTAGGCCGCTCGGCCGCTTGGCAGCACTTCAAGAGCATAATGGAACTAAATGGAACCACAGTGGTGCGACCAGCAGGCCGACGCGTCGCGTCGCATGGCGCTGGCCCACGAGACAGATTGGCCGAACACGCATTAGAGGAACCTATCTAGATCGCAACACCTTTCATCTCACTCTCCCCCTCGCGCTAATGGACGACGGCGCGTCCAGCGGAGCGATGCCGAGCACTCTCCGTCTCTCTCGCACTCACGGGGCGTGCCCCGGCCGCCCCGGCGTGCCGTACAGGTGCGAGAGAGACGGAGCACGTCATCGGTCCGCTGGAGGCGCGTCGAGCTTCATGACCCCCGCCGAGAGGGACTCCTCGACGGGGTGGAGTCACGGCGCTGCAACGCACGCCGCGCCACTAGAAATTCAGATCGTGATGGCTTCGTTGCGGCACACACACACACACACACACTCACTCACACACGCACACATGGCACACGAAATCACAGCCAGCCGCTCGCCGCCGCGCGGGCCGGGATGGGCGGGGTCGCCATGGCGACCGCGGAGCACGGCGACGGCGGCAATGCGAAACAATTAAAGTACAAGTCCGTGGCGGTGCAACGCCTGGTGTGCCCGGCACACTGTGCCACGGCTAGGAGGCGCACTGGCCGCACAGCGCGAGCGGTGCTCTCTCGCGGACGGCGGCCGAGGCGTTGACGGCGTTGACGGCGTTCACGTTGGCGCAGCGGACGTGGTACCAGCCGCCGCAGCCCGAGCACGTCATCCAGTCCGCGCGCCGCTGGGCCGTCTCCCTGAAGTAGTTGGCGTGGCAGCCGCGGCACGCGTGCTGGTCGTCCGAGAAGCGGCGGTGTGCCTGCGGCTGCTGCCGCCGCTCCTGGGCGCGCCGCTTGGCGCGCACCCACTGCGTCAGGCGGCTCTCCTGGTGACCGATGGACCAGAGGCGCTTCAGCGGGGACGTCATGCTGCACCTGTAACACGAGGCGGAGGGGGGCATTAGACGGGGTCCGGTGCAGGCGGTCAAAGTCCCCGACGCGTGCAGAGCTCCAGAGTCGCTGAATGGGACTCGAACCGAACGTGTGACCCCACCAATGGATTGCTCTCCGAACCAGGAATCCATTGGTGGGGTCACATGTTCGGTTCAAGTCTTGTTTGGCAATGCAGCAAAATGTCGCACTTCCCCTGGACAGTCACGTCTACATCGCGCTTACGTTACGCCTTGGTTTCAACCAGTGTTCTAGCCGGCCTAGACCAGACACTGTACACGAGTAAAACCGCCTTGTCCATGTCCATCGCGGGGAAGAAAGTTCCGCGCCGCGCAGCGTCCCACGCGGTGGTATCACCGACCGAGGTGCTCGCCACAATGGCAGGCCAGACCATCGAGCGAGACAGAGCGAGACAGAGCAGCACAGAGACAATGCACGCTATCGTCATCAAAGACACAATGCATCGAGCCACAATGCGTTAAAGGACAATGCGCATTAAGGCGGGCTGGGGTGGCGCTAGCAGCGCCAGGCCGGCCGCGCCGAGCGACCCCTCGCTGAACTCTAGCACTCTCTAGCGACACAGCGCGACTAGAGTCCTAGAACAATCCCAGGACACTTCTAGGACCCAATGCTGGGACTCTTCTAGGACTCTAGAACGATCCTTGGACGTTTCTGGGACTCTGGGCGCGGCGACCCGCTTTCCCCGGGCATGCAGATTAAGCGCGATGCACCCACCGCCTCACCTGTTGCTGTTGCTGCTTGCACTAGTTCCCGCACTCTCTATCTCTCTCTCTCGCTCTCTTCGAGCACACCGACGGTCTCACACACTGCACAGTCGCACGCGGCGCGGCGCGAGGCTGGCGGTCTGGCTCGGAGCGCGGCGGCGAGGCGAGTGAGGAGACGAGCCGCGAGCGTGGCGCGAGCAGCTCGAGCAAGGAGCGAGGGAGAGAGAGGGAGAGAGACAGAGAGACAGAGGAGCGGGAGGGGCCGCGAGATTAGATAACGCGTATCCGCGCCACGCCCTGCCGTCCCATCCCGAACAGTGCTTTCGTCGCTCTGTCCCTGTCGCACTCTGGCGGCGGCTCCGGGCAGGGGTGCGAGGGAGACAGAGCGACGAAAGCTGTTCGGAGTCAGCTCGCTGCACCGCCTCTCCGCCGCGGCACCGCGGGGTGGCGGCTGGCCGGCCGGCCCGGCCCTCAACCTGCTGCACAGCCTGGCGCAAGCCTCCGCCGCGTCGCCCGCCCCGAACCACCCCGGGCGCAGACACTGCTGGAAAAGGCGCGTATCCAGGGGGCCCAGCTCCCTCCCCCTTCCCCCAAAAGGCAGCGAAGCCGCCTGGAAGGCAGGCAACAAGTCACGCTTCGAACCCGCCCCCAGATCCGCACTTGGAAGGAAAACTGCCGTCTTTTGGTCGTTTTTCGGGGGCAGACAGACAGAGGTGACCACGGGGCCGTCGCGCCGTCGGCGTATCGCGGGTCAGTCGGCCCTGGTGGGGGCCGCGACGCCGCGACTCGACTCCACGACCTGGAGGTCGCGCCTCGCCTCGCGCCGCATCGCGCGCCAGCGGCCTGCCGAGCGGCCTGCCGTGAGTCACGTCGACACGTCCGCAGCCTGGCGCAGCCCGGCGCAGCCTCCACGGAGTCCTTGCGGGGATCCTCCTCTGCCTCCGAACAGCGCCACGTCGCTCTGTCTCTCTCGCACCCATACGGAGGGACACGCGAGTGCGAGAGAGACAGGCACTGTGGAATCAGCCCGCCGCCGTCTGCACACTGTGCACACCTCGCGGACGCCGCCGCCTTGGAGCACGTGGCGCCGCGGCGCACAGTGGGCCAGAAGCCGGTGGAGGCGGCCGAAACTCTAGACGCGTTTTGAGCTCCACAGTTGCTAAATGGGACTCGAACTGAACGTGTGACCCCACCAATGGAATCCTCGTTCGGATAGCAATCCATTGGTGGGGTCACACGTTCGGTTCGAGTACCATTTAGCGACTCTGGAGCTCAAAACGCGTCTGGAATTTTGGCCACCTCCACCGGTCTTCTGGCCCACTGTGCGGCGGAACGACGGAGGGCTGCAGACTTTGAGAGCCGCTGTCTCTCTCGCACCCATACGGCGCGCCGCACGAGTGCGAGAGAGAGACAGATCGATGAGGATGGGCTGTTGGTCGGAGACCAACACGGAAACGGCGAAAAGCCTCTGCCTGTGAGTGTGTGCGTCTGAGAGTGTGTGAGTGTGCGCGCTGTCGCCGCGACGAGGACGTGAGGCGCAGGACGAGTGTCGGTTGCGCAGGTCGGCGTTCGGCCGGTGGGAATAGGACTGGGGGTGAGGCGCTGTAAAAACTGGCGCAGGCCCGCACCGCTGGCCGTGCCGGCGTGGTGCCGCACCGGCGTGTCGAGCCGGCGTGGCGGGCCGTGCCGTGCCGGCGTGCTGACAGCTAGCCGCGGCCTGTCACGCCGCGAGCACCGCGAGCCGCTCGGTGGCGGCGAAGGCGGCGAAGGCGATGAAGGCGATGACCGCACGGCTGCAATTAGCGTTTTGGCGAGCCGCCCCGCCCTGCAGGCTCATTCCGAGAGTCGTGCTCGGTCTCTCTCGCACTCACGGGGCGTGCCGCAAGGCCGCGAGGGTGCCAGAGAGACAGGGCGACGGAATCGGCTTGCCGTGTGCGCCCGCTGCCAGTTGGGCCCTAGCGCGCCGCGGCCCACAGTGGGCCAGAAGACCGGTGGAGGCGGCAAAATCTGGACGCGTTTGAGCTAGAGTCGCTGAAGGACTCGAACCGAACGGTGCCACCAATGGATTCCTCGTCGGAGAGCAATCCATTGTGGGGTCACCGTTCGTTCGAGTCCCATTTAGCGACTCTGGAGCTCAAAACGCGCCTAAAGTTTTGGCCGCCTCCACGGTCTTCTGGCCCACTGTGGCGCGCCCCGGCCTCCCGGCATGCCAGCGCGGTGCTCGCGGTGCCAGCTGGCCGACGAATGGCGCGAAGAAGGGTTCGGAATCTTTCGAAAACTAGTCCACAATTTTTGCAAAATGAATGTTAGATTTTTCTTTAACGCAACATTTAGCTCGAGTTGAAATTTGCCACGTAAAAAGAGAATGTCGAAAATCACCATGTGCGATTAACTGGTCGGATAGCGGTTTGGCAATCATTTTCATGATCGACGTCGACCTGGTTGACCCTCCCCGGTTGCCCCGTGGTCCGCGTTAGCGACGGTCCCTTCGTCCCTTGGCAGACGACACGCGGCTACCTTCTGGCCCTGCTTCTGGCGGCGGTTTTCCCACAGGAAGCTGTGGCGGCCCGGGGCCTCGCCAGCCCCGCCCCCATTCACTCGGTGCGGGTAGTGGGCCTCTAGGTGCGGGTGAAGGCAGGCAGTACTGCCGCCTGGAAAGCAGGCAGCATTGAACAGTGGGTCAGCAACCGGCGGAGGCGGCCAAAATTCTAGACGCGTTTTGAGCTCCAGAGTCGCTAAACAGGACTCGAACCGAACGTGTGACCCCACCAATGGATTCCTTGTCCGGAGAGCAATCCATTGGTGGGGTCACACGGTTGGTTCGAGTCCCATTTAGCGACTCTGGAGCTCAAAACGCGTCTAGAATTTTGGCCGCCTCTGCCGGTTTCTGGCCCACTGTGCATTGCTCCCCAGCCACGCGCGCCGTGTGCTCCTTTTGGCGCATGGCGCCCCGCCCCGCCCCGCCCCGCCCCGCGCCGCCTCGGCCAGCCTTGCGACAACGGAAGGCAGAGGTCGAAGGCCAGAGGGCGTCGAAGGCCAAAGGACGAAGGCGCCGGGGTGATCTGGCGGCAGACGAGCGATGCCGCCGTCCGCACTCCTCCCCCCGTATATCTCCCTCTCGCGGAGTTTGCCGCAGGCGTGCGAGAGAGACAGAGCGGATGACTGAAGCGGACGGACGTCTTCGCGAAGCTGGTCTGGCGGAGGCGCCCCTATCGCACTGCCCCCCGCCGGCAGGCTGACGCTCTGTCCCTCCCGCACCCATGGGCCCGCGAGAGAGACAGAGCGACGCGAAGCAGTGATCGGAATCAGCTTTGAGGCCGGCTGGCCACACGTGCGAAGTTTGCACACGACTGGCAGCAGTTGTACACACACACCAACAGACGGGCGCACTCACACACACAGCGTGTGACTAATAGGGCCGACACGTGTGTGTATACAAGGCGGACGAAGGGAAACAGAGTTTAAATAATCTGTTCCCTATCGCCTGGGCTTGAGAGAAAAAGAGAGAGAGAGAGAGAGAGAGAGAGAGAGAGAGAGAGACAGAGAGAGAGAGAGAGAGAGAGAGAGAGAGGGCTTGAGGGAGGAGGACGGAGGAGGAGAGGGGGAGTGAGGGATGAGGAAGTGCGCGGAAAGGAGCTGAAGAATCGAGTTTAGCACAGTGAGAGAACGGCATATGGGCATGGCGACCACGCAGGTAGGATGAGGCTCTGAGACTCTGTCATAGAGAACCATTGGCAAACGAAACCCGAGGAAAAAAAGGGGGGAAAGGCAGATAAAAAGCCGACGACGAAAGGGAAAAAAGGAATGGATTCGAGCAAAAAGACGTTTAAAAGGTGCAGTTGGACAGTTCACGCTGAAATGGATGTTGTAAAAAAACACAACAAAATGCGTTAGAAACAACAGAATTATTGACATAGTGGAGATTGTTTGAGCCGTGAGCGAAAGGGAAATCAAATTGAATTGTGTGTTTTAGATGAGGGGATAGAAAACAGATATATCTTAGTTACAGAAAGAGTCGGTAGCATTGGAAATGACATATGTGTTTTCCAAGAGAAGAGCGTTTAACAGTTTGTGCTGTTTTAAATTGATGACACGGGCTGCTAAGAGGAATCAGTTGGGAACGTGCTGCCTAAGCTAACTCACTGACTGCGCCTGCGGCTTATGGTAGCGGGGTGCTGCGTTGTTACCCGCTGCTTGCTGCTTCGTCGCTCTGTCTCTCTCGCCCTTAAGGGGCGTCCCGTAGGGGTGCAACAGAGACAG